GACAAACGACGCCAAGCGACGTATAAAATCGAATAACAACAACAACAAAGCCAACAATTCTATTGTGAGATGATAAAGAAAGAAATAAACTGAAATTATAAAGAGAGAAAAAAATAAAGAATTGATTGCTTTCTTGGCCGGCGCTTGTCATCCGGTCGTGGCTGGCTATGCACAAAGCACAGTGCTTAAAAGTCAATGAGAAATGTGTGCAAAAAGAGCGAGAGATGTTTATCAGTTGGACAAGAGCGGAAATGGCCAAATTAACAAATTGGTATCACTATTGACAACTATGAGTAGAGCTTTAAAGAAGAATCATAAACAAAGAGAGAATTAAACGTTTCTTCGACTCAATTATAAGGCGGTACAATTGAGATATATCAAGATCGAACTTCACTATAAAAGATTAATCACAATAAATAGCAAAACAAGTTTCATCATATTTCATTAACAGAAAGCCCAGTCAATAGCATTAGATATTAGTTAGCATTCGAGAAGTTTTCGTATTGCCTGGAAAATTGATGACATGAGCGTAAACCTATTTCTATTTTCTCAAGAGCCATGGCTATATAATATTCATAGTTTCTATTTACAATATACATACATATATGAAAAGTAGCTTTGTTATATGAGCTCAAATGTGACATGAGCCCACTGTGCGATGCGGTCTCAGCTCCCCACAATTGAGAAGTTGTATAAATACTTATTGTTATTGCTGTTATTGTTATGATGATTGTTTGTTGTTTTGTTGGTGTCGCACTTCGACTGCTTTTCTCTACTGGGCTCTGTAATCGTGCTCTTTTTAAACATAATCAACACGCATTCCACAATTTGGATAAGTGCTACATTATCATCACAAATCATTTTTGAACAGCTGCTTACAATTTAGACTTGATTAACTTAACTTAAAGTTACGAAAGAAGCATAGTGGAGCAAGGGTAAGAGTAAGAGTTGCACAGCAAAACTAAAGTTGATTCAATATTGTTCACATTATTTTAATATTAATATTTTATATATCAATTTTTCAAGTTGCGTTTCTTAGACACAAATTCTAGAACTCTTATTTTTCATAGAAAACGTGTTTTTAATTGAAATCAACATTTACTTTTTACTGTGTACAACCTTTGCTGCAGAGAGTCAACGATTTATCTGCTGTCTGGTGCTTAGTTTGGGGCCGCGCAATGATATCTTACCTCATGGCTGCGTTTCAGTGAGGTGTATTCCTGTAGTGTGCGCGACACATTACGCTTTAGCGTTGAGATCTCTTGTATTTCTTTATCTAAGATGTTTTTTAAACGCCGCACAACTTTCGTCTCCGTTTCCAGTTCGCTCTCGATGATGCACTCGGCGATTGTCTTCTCCAACTCGGCTGCAAATTGCGAAAGAGTTTTTTTTAGTTTAAATAAATACAAAACTTTATTTTGATGATGTAAAGGATGCGTGTGAGTGTGTGTCTCTGCATTTCAGAGTGTCTAAGTGAGGAAGTCAATGCTTATTTAAGACCTTATCGCAGAAAAAAGGACGGTAGCAAATGTTGTTGTTATTGTAGCTGCCGGTTCAAAGTTGTGGGCCGCGCACTGTGGGAGCGGGCGCAGGCGCGGGCTCGGGGGCGTAACTATAGCTTCTCTGACGAAGCTGAGTAAGCAAAATTGTGATAATTGTGTTGAGTGCGACGCCGGCAGCGCAGCCTACAATGCATAGTAGAATAGGGGGCCCGCAGCAGGGGAAGAGGCGACAACACAAGTGAAGTATAAAATTGAAGATATGCTCGCTGTGGCTAAGAGAAGGCGATGAGACGAGAAGGTGGAATTAAAGCGTGTCGTGGCTAAGAAATAAATTACAAAAGGGCACACTTGGCACAGTGGGACGAAACCGTTATAATCGTTAAGGACAGTTTCCATTTTAGTAACGCCTTAGGTTTATTATACCTATATTTTATAATAGATCAAAAGTCATAATATAAAAATAGATGATTGCAAAATTGTTAAATACTCAATTTGCAAAAATTGGTATTGTCTTCTTTTGACCTACTTCAAATGCAAATACGTTTATATAACTTTTAAGTTGAGATGGAAACTAAAAAGGGAATGAAAGAAAAAGTGACTGGCCAGCTATACGCTCTAACTGCTAACAAATATACTATTTATACAATATACTTCCTTGTTAGCATTTGTGTACGTGAACTTTGTGTAAACTCAAATATATAGAGTTGATAAAATGCGAAACATACAATACACGTACAGAGCGACAGCTGAGCGGACGAGAGAGTATTATGCATGAATAGTTCACCTACTTTTGCATGCAGGCCAAACAAAGGCTTTATTTCGTTTCGCTTTATGTCGTAATGCTGTGGACAGAGCTTATCAAATGAACGTTGAACCAAGGTAAACTTGAAGCTGTTAATGCTGATGCGTCGCTGCCGTTGCTGCTGCTGCTGCTGCTAGTGCAGTCAACTAAATTGCAATTGCTGCACGCATCTACTGTGCCTATCAATGTGCCTGTGGGCCTCTCTGTACGTGTGTGCGTCTGTATGTGTGTGTCTCACATGCTAAAAGCGTAAGTGGAGTCAATAATGAGTAATACAAACAAAAAGTGGGTGGGGGAAGAGACGGAGAGAGAGAGAGACAGAGAAGAAACAGCAACAAACGAAAAAAAGGTGTGGGGGTTGATTTGAATATTTATATATCTATACATACATATATTTATATATATTTTTATATATTTTTCATATATGTATGTAAGTATGTATTTATACATATTTATATGTATTTATACATATTTGAGCAATTGTACATTTTATTTCGTTTTGGCGTAACTTTTACTTCTTTGCTCGATTTATCATAATCATAACATAACTACTCAGATTACTTTTACTTGGCTTTTGTCTTGCATTGAAAGAAATGCACAATGAAGTTTTGATTGAAAAAAAACCAGCCATAAAACAGGGCATTAAAAAGCGTGTCTTGCCAGGCGGGGCGACGGAGGGTCCAAATACGTAAACACAATAACAATCAAAACAAAAACAAAAAAATAACAAAAAACAAAAACTGTATAAATAGATAAGCAAATAAAAATAAGAGCGGCAGAGAGCAGCCGACTCAGCGAACGACTGTGTAAAAGAAAGCAACGAAAAAATCATCATAAAAATTATTATAATGATTAAAAAACGCGCTAAGCAGCAGCGACAACAACAATAGCAACAGCAAGTAAATAGTGATTTAGAGAGATTAGCCATATGAAGACTAAAGAATACCCTGTAGGGGTTTGTAATCTCAATCTGTGCTATATATGCCATAGACTTTCTGAATGTAGTCGTTTATTACATTGTAACATATGCCGATAATCGATATTTATTGATTTAATGAAGATATTGCAGATTTTAGGCAAATTGGATATGCTAAATGAGAATCAATTAAGTCTTCAAAAATCATTTACAGAAAGAGCCCAAGAACCTATACACACAAGCTACAAACTGCTTTCAATTTTAAACATTTATACAGTAGAAATATACCCATTTTTTATACATTATCAATGGGAATAGGGTATAATAATCGACATCGCTGTTGAGAAATGTAAATGCCACAAGGCCAAGCGCAGACAAGGCGAGGCCACACATACACACACACGCACACTTAGCGCACGCAAGCCCGTGACACACAGTCATCAAAGCATATGCATAGAAATTTATGCGCTCATATGTATACACATACATGCACGCAAACATACGCATAACTGTGCACACCTTGCGCTTTTAAGCGGTTTCGTGTTTAATTTTTTTCAATTTAGAATTTTTTCTAGGTGGCGCCCTTATCACAGCCAGCGAGACGCCGATAAAACTAATACACACACACATTCTCATATATACACATACACGAGCTAACATTCAAAATCAGCTACTCACCGCAATTCGCTAAAACCTTGTGCAACGGTATATCCTTAGGTAACTCCTTGGCCGACTCATCTAGTGCTTGGGCAATCTTGTAGTGCGTGTTCTTTTTGATGCGCTTGTCGTGCTCCTCGATAGTGACGGTGCCATTGCTGCTGCTACTGCTGCTGCCTCCACTGCTGTTGCTGAGTGCTGGTAATTTGCGCACAATTTTCTCAATGGTATCGCGATATCGGTCTACCTGCTTCTCAATGATCTCTAGCTCAGAATCTTTGCAGTCCGATTTTGTAGATCTGTGTGAAGTAACAAAGCAAAACAAAACAAGAGGAAATCAAATACAGATACAGAGATATCGATATATATGTAAATGCCATTACACGCAAATGCCGTTAGGTCATCAGCGACGTAAGAAACATGCATATAAAAAACGTAAGCGTTGCGCTTTATTTTGGCATTGATTTGTTTTTGTTGTGTTTGTTGCTGCTGTTGTTGTTGTTGTTATGAGGCAACACCTGCGCCCGCCGCTGGCTGCTGTCGCTTTTGTCTGGCAGTTTGTCGCGTCTTCACGGCTCCCGCCGCTGCCGCTGGATGGCGACTGCCTGCGCCCCCTGGCCTTTGAACTTACCTTAAGTTTTCAGCAGCAATTTTAATTTTTGCAAATTGTTTCTTCATATTGTTGCCGCTTTGCACACAGACTTCTGACCGCCGTTTTACGTCTAACAAAAACAAAATGCACTTTGTTGTGGTTTATATTACTGTATTAAATTAGCTCGGCATTTACAAATATTTTTAAACACTGGCAAAAATTAGTCATTCTCTGACGACGAATTACTGAAAAATGATGTAAAGTCAAGGTATGTGAATATCGATCAACTATCGATGGCTGTCACTCAGATAGAAGTTGCATGAACTGAAACAGTAACTATCGATAGGCAAGGAATACCCCTACATGACTGCTTAAAGTTAGCTGCATAGAAACTATCAAAATTGAAAATAAAGAAAAATATATTAATATTATTATGATAAATATAATATATTGAAATATGGGATTTGTTTAATATTCGATTAATTTACTTATCGGAACTCAGCCGTCGACTATCGCAACTCACGATATTATGCTGTCTTTAACGAGCTTCAGTTGCACGTGTGAGCTCAAATTCAATTTTCGTACAACTTTCAAAATATTGAATATTATTCAATTTCCCTATGGACTATATGACCGACGAAGAAGCTGTGAGAAGCGTTTGGGATTACTACAACCATGAGAATGGCAAAGAAGAGTCCAAAAAGGAAAATGCGTGCACCATAAGAAAGCGCTTTGAGCAAAAAGTTTTACGTTTGTTGACAATACACAATGTGCCCTATTCAAAAAAAGATGGTAAATAAAAACCAAAAACTTCAAAAAGCATTACATTAATGCATCGTTATTGTAGATGAAGAAACTTACGAGGACTATCTGCTCTCTGATGATGAAAATATGCCAAATCCAAAAGGTATCAAGTTAAAACAATCAATCAAAACTAAACCTAGAGACAATGACGGCGACGAGGAAGAAGAGGAAGAGGAAGAGGACGAGGAGGATGTGGACGAACGTATTGCGTCCATAAAGAACAAATTGCGCCAGAAAAAGCGTCCGACTACTGAAAAGCAACAGAAGAGACGTGTAGCAAAGAAGCTGAAGCGAAGCAAAGGCGTGCAAAAGCTGCTCCAATCCTCAGCAAAGATAATGAAAAATGAGAATATAAAACAGAATAAACTAAAGAATGGAGGTATCAAAGCAGAATCGAATGATGATGGAGAGGCAACAGATAGCAAGGCAACCATTCAGCCCGTTCCTCTGAAACCTGTATTCAACGAGGAATCGAAGATAGTTTATTCCAAAATTGATTTCGCAGCCAACCCAGGTGCTAAGTCCAAGAAATCGCATCAAAATCCAAAGGAAATACTTAAAAAGCTGAAAGATACACGCCAACAAATAAACGAACTAAAGGAACAAGGTCAAGGGGATAAAGCAGCCGAATTACAAAATAATATTGCTTGGAAGAAGGCATTTGATAAGATAGAGGGCAAGAAAGTGAAAGATGACACCAAGCTCCTCCAAAAGGCCATCAAAAAGAAGAAGTTGGAGAAGCGGACGGCAAAGAAGAAATGGACGGAACGCAAGCAGAAGGTGGATCATGATATAGCGAAACGTCAGAAGAAACGACAGGAGAATCTAGATAAGCGCAGCAAGGACAAGAAGAACAAGAAACTGAAGAAGGCTAGCAAAAAGGGCCGAATTATACCTGGCTACTAAAAACTGGGTGGCAAAAAAATTAGAAATACAAGTCAAATATAAAATTTTTGACAAAACGAAATTTAAGTTCTTTTTAAATTCATATATACAAAAATTTTCTATATTTCTGGCCGTAAAACAGTCCAAATTCTTTGTGTATTATTTTAGATTAACATTTTGGTCGGTTTATGTGATTTTATGTACCACGGTGCGCGGCACAGACAAGAAGAAGAGTCATCAAACAGCTGTAATTTAATTATCAGCTGTTTTCCATTGTTGTATTTTGTGAAGCTATCATACAATTTCGTTAATGGTATGAATAACAGCAACATCGTGTAATTACCATTACGGCCAGGACAGTAAATACGGGCGGTCTTTATTCAATAAGATAAATAAAAACTGTCATGGATCTGCAACAAAAAAGTTTTCGAAAACACATTTGCTAGTGAATACCAAAATACGAAAAACAAAAAGAAGAAGCACATACTCTGGCCAACGAGTACGAAACGACGTGTGAAGAGAAATCAGAAAAACCGAAACACACACAAGCGTAAACGTGCTCACCGACAAGCCCGCATATTCACACAGTCACACACACACATACACATATATGCAGACGCACACAGCGCCAAAGAAGTGTGTACAGGCAAAGCGCCGAGCGCAATCTATTTTATTCACATTTTCCACACACAAAAGTACCAGCAGAGCAGCAGCGAAAAATTAACAATTGCGTCGTACAACAGGCCACAAGGAACGAATAAAAAGCTAAAGAAATTTTTTGTCTTTTAAGAGTGAGCATCAAAAACCAATTCAGAGTATTGTGCAAAACAAAATCGAATGACTAGCAATATTTGCTTGTCAAAATAGTCCAGAACAGACTGGCAACAGCAAGAACAAAATCTGTACCAGCAGCCCCCGAACAGTAGAAGGAAGAAGAGAGCATTGTGTGTGTATGTGTGTGTGTGAGCCGACCCACCAGCTGAGATTTCCGTAATAACAGCAACAGTAGCGCTTTATAATGAGCATGGTACGACGTATCATATTGCTGGCTCCAAAATATAAAATTTGGACAAAAGGTAAGCGGAATATGCTGTTTTTTATAAGCGCAGAAACACAACAATCGTACGAATGCTGTCTAAAATCGCATACGTAACTGCGTCATTTGCGTCACGTAGCCGCAGCAGCCGAAAGCAACAGCAATAAATCTAATACAGCGCGCTTATCAAAATTTCGTTTATAATTCTGCAATATTAATCGAACACTCACTTTTGGCAATAGCTGAAGGTTGTGCATTTGACTAACAAAGTAGATGCACGCCAATTGAGCCATGGATTTAAAGCTAACTTGTATTGGGTTATATGATTTAAATTCATGTCAAACAGCCTTTGTCGAAGGTCAACGGCGCATAGCCATTACGTTATGCCAATCAGACAACGTAGCATGTATCGTATTTGCGATGATTGAAGTTTGTTGTTGTTGTTTCGATTTCTTGTTTACGATTTTGAACTGAACTTGAATTGTTTTTAAATATGGTCGAGGTTTAATTATTGCAGTTACAGCTTTTGACGCAATGAGCGGCCAGTCGTTTAAAAATATGTTTTTTTTATTTCTTTTTTCTTGTCATAGACGTTAAATGTGTGCACTGGCCAGTTTTTTCTTACAGCAGTGGTCGGCAATAAACTCTTAATACCGGCCATAAGGAAATCTAAGCTAGGTTTTTCGGAAGTGTAGAAAGGCCAATTATATAATTATTATATAAGTACAAATTGTTCGAGTATTATCACCAGTCGATTCAAGTTAATGTTTACTCGAGTCGAGCTCATATAGTAGGTTACAGTGCATGCTCTGCTAACGAACAGATCGTAAAGAAATACTATTATTTTATTTTATATTTAGCTATTGTATATTTAAGAAACATTTAAACTACTTATGCTCCTAAAAGTTTAATTTTTTTTGTTTATATTAAAATTCTATTTCTGATCTTAATAACCGTGCAGGAATTATAATGATATGCTCTTCATATTCCTTATTTTAAAGTTGAAATTTCATAATTCATAATCGTTTTTCCGTGAACTTGAGTCTCTACACGTTCTAATTGAACTGAGACAGTTTTTTAATATACGTAGCTGCTAATTGGCCTTGGATTTGTAGTTGAGGCAACAATATGAATGAATAATACAACAATTTAACTACACGTAGTAATACTCTAATTTTTAGCTAACAACGAGAACTATATTATATAGTCAGTTGCGATTGCTATTAGATCTGAGCTATAATTTAATTTGAAATACACAATATATATTTGTATATTAACTAACGCTTGACTCCTCTTTATCACTCTCTTAGGATCCAGCCATGTTCAGCATACCCCGAAATGCATAATACTAAGCACCGGTAATGGAAGGCGACAATTTCATTTGGCCACTCAGCAATGCGCTGCCAATGGGCAGCTGCTGTTGGAGCCCATTGTGGTCATACCCGCCTACATTGACATAACTAATGGAGTGAGATCGGATGCCGGCAGCAGCAGCAGCAACAGCAACGGAGGCAAAGAAACCGGAAAGAATAGCGAATTAAGTGGCGCAAGTGGCGCATCCAAAATACCTGGGGGCGGTAGCAGCGGGTCGAACGTGGGTGGTGGTGGTAGTGGAGGGAGTGGCGGTTCGAGCACAACTGGCGGCAGTGGCGATAAATTTTTATCCTGTCCAAAATGCGGGAGCGCATGCACACAAGTGGAAACGTTTGTTAGCTCGACGCGCTTTGTGAAGTGCGCCAAGTGCAACTATTTCTTTGTGGTGCTCTCCGATGTGGAAACCAAGCAGCGCGTCAAGGAGGAGCCAAAGAATCAGCGCAAGCCACCGCCACCACCTCAAAAGATCATGGAATATCTCGATAAGCATGTGGTGGGCCAAGACTTTGCCAAGAAAGTTCTTGCGGTGGCTGTTTACAATCATTATAAGCGCATCCATCACAATTTGCCCCAGCTGCAGCAGCAGCCAAGTGCCGGTTCCGGCGCCGGTGGTGGACTGGACGGCATACCACGTACGGATCTACTACACATCACTGGAATTGGTCATACACTGAACAGCACGCCTGGCAACGAGCTGCCGCCAAAACCAGCGCAAATGGGCCTTGGTGGGGGACTGTCTGGTGGTGGTCTAGGCAGTGGCCTGCACAACAGCAACGCCAACAACCCGCGGAACAGCGATCATCGTCCCGGCTCCGAGATACTAGATAGACAAAGCAACGATGTTAAGTTAGAGAAGAGTAACATTATCATGCTCGGACCTACAGGCTCTGGTAAAACGCTAATTGCGCAAACGATCGCCCGGTGTCTGGACGTTCCCTTTGCAATCTGCGATTGCACAACGCTCACCCAGGCCGGTTACGTGGGCGAGGACATTGAGAGTGTCATATCTAAGTTGCTACAGGATGCCAATTACAAGTAAATTCTTAATCGATATATAAATTGTCTGACAAATTAAGTGTAACTTAAGGTTACATAACTTATATACCTGCCTTGCCTAGCTCCTTAGGGTAGGAATGTTCAGTGATAATAAATCGTAATATCTCCTTCTTTTACAGTGTGGAGCGTGCTCAGACTGGCATCGTATTCTTGGATGAAGTAGATAAAATTGGCGCTGTGCCGGGTATACATCAGCTACGCGACGTTGGAGGTGAAGGTGTTCAACAGGGCATGTTAAAGATGCTAGAGGGGACTGTGGTCAATGTGCCTGAGCGGAACTCGCCGCGCAAGCTGCGTGGCGAAACAGTGCAAGTAGACACAACGAATATCCTGTTTGTTGCCTCTGGTGCCTACACGGGTCTCGATCGTCTCATTGCCCGCCGGTTAAATGAAAAGGTAGCTAAGTCCAGCAACTGCATTTATATTCATATATTAATCGTAACTCTTGGCCGTAGTATTTGGGCTTCGGCATGCCGTCGACTAGCGGCTCGGGCCGTCGAGCGGCACAATCAGCAGCCAGCCCAATGGATAACGATCAGGAGGAGCGTGATAAATGCCTGACTAAGGTGCAGGCCCGTGATCTCGTTGAGTTTGGAATGATACCCGTAAGTACCAACAACTATCTGTCTTACTCTGTTAATCATGCTCGCTTTACACTCTGCAGGAGTTCGTTGGTCGCTTTCCGGTCATTGTGCCCTTCCACAGTTTAAACGTGAATATGCTGGTGCGTATTCTAACTGAGCCACGCAATGCTCTCGTGCCTCAATACAAAGCGCTGCTAGGGCTCGACGAGGTGGACCTATCCTTTACGGAAGATGCGGTTGAATCAATTGCCAGTCTAGCCATGGAAAGGCATACAGGCGCACGTGGACTGCGCTCCATAATGGTTAGTTAGTTAGAAGAGAATTGTAGAAATGTTAATCATTCACAATCATAATACTAATGTGTTATTCGTTATCCATCCGACAGGAGCAACTTCTTTTGGATCCCATGTTTATAGTGCCTGGCTCAGATATACGCAGTGTACACATAACGGCTGATTATGTACGCGGCAATTCTAAGCCAATTTACAGTCGCAGTTCTGATGACGATTCTAACGCTACTAGCGACAGCTCATCGTCGGAGACTACAGATACGGAACCCAGCAACGATAATGATAAGAACTTTGAAGATAGTGAAAAAGTACGGCTCAAACAGTAAAAGCCTTCGATTAACAACACACTTTAAACAGCAGCTATAGCGTTCAGCCTAACAAAAGCAACCACAGCAACAACAACACGATCTGCAATGCTTTTCCCCATTTCCAACACTTTTGCCCACGCTTTTCATGAAATTTCACTATTAGACTGTTCTACAGAGTTACATTTTTCTTAAAACCTTTTTGCTTTGCAAATATGCTTTCTGTGCTAACCCCATATAATCTTAGACCCACCCCCCATTTATATAGATGCATCATTGTTAATGTGTTATATTATTTTTAGTCACGTTTAAATGATACTGTGGTCGGTACGTAGCACTTCCTTCAAATCGCTGTCACACAATTTTTGAATGGCTGATTGGCAATTTTATATAAATCGAAATATATATATTTGTGTATATATAAAATCAGTATATATATACATATGTATAGTTTATATCGGTATCCTTCCCACTCGATATGCACCTGTGATTCATAACTGACAAGCAGCGTAAATTTGAAATGCAGCCTTTCAAAGATCGTTTGTAGCATCAAAAATGGCAATTGTAAAAACAATCATTATAATTTTTCACTAGAAATGTAAAGCAAAACTAATAAAAGAAACCCAATTTCCTAAAGATTCGTTAATACGACTTATTTGACATCGTAGAGAAAACAACAACAAGGATTTATGTCTGTTGCGTTAGTTTCTCAGTTCGGCATATATAATAAATAAACTTTGATAACTGTAAAAAAGAACAAAACAAATATATTTATATATATTTAACCTAGGCAAAAGTAAAAATATGAGTTACAAATTTTAGTAGTCTAATTATTGAACGACGAGGAACAAATTATATTTTTAACTAATTTAAGTTGTACAACAAAACGTAAAAAAAAATTTAAAAAATAGTAATTTAATAATAAAAAAAAATTAAAACAAAAAATAAACAAATGTCTTATTTACTCTTTAAGTTCATTAACAAGATATAAACTCAGATCGGGTTATAAGGTCGTTGGCCATTGGATTGCCTACAAAAGTTGCCTAGATCTATCAGTCAGTTATCTGGATTGATTACCTTCATTCAGAGTTGCTTAAAATAGATATGAATCGAAATGGAATCCAAAAAATTGTCGATCTTCAAGCAGAATACACTGTGAATATGCTAAGGGCAGATAACTTCAATAATGAACCAAACCAAAGCGTTGTGTATATAGTTTGTTTTGCGATACAAAAGATACATAAATAAAAAGATGTGGGTAAGCATTTAACAAATTTATGATTAATTTTATTTAATTATCATATTCAACTAAAACAGAATTCGCACAAATTAAATTGACTAAGGTTAACTACTCGTTAAAAAAATTGACTCATGCAAAACTTGCATATTCGAAACTCTTCGGGTGTGTTCCACTATTCAGTTTAGCTTTAATGTTTTATTATTGATTTCTGTTGACTCCAGCTGAATAGCGAAAAGCGCACATTAAAAAATATAATTAAGATTTATAGCACATATATGCTCTAAGATATTCCAGTTGATTTAATATTCTTTATCTTTCCTTTTTTTAGTTGAGGTTTTTTAAATATTTTTTTTTTGACGTACTGTAAAATTTGTATAAAAATTTGTAAGTAAATAAATATGTATATTTGTAGTGTATATGAAAGTGTCTGGGTGTGTGGCTGAGTGGGTGTGTGAGTGGGCGTGTATGTTATGTGGGTGAGTCTATGGATGAGCGAGTGTAAATATGAGTTTTTGTATGCATATATATAAATAAGTTATTAAAACCCGAATTTAGGCACGAGCTTCAATCACCCTCCTCAGATATAAGCAGCTCATATTCCTGTGCTGCAAATCGATCCCAATCAGAGGTCTGCAAATAGATGAAGGATTAATTTATACATTTTCAAATTTGAATTATCGAAGTACAATCAAACAGAACCCAAAACTGAACTAAATGGAAACAGATGGAATCTAGAGGACTCGGCGATCCGGCCAATACTTGGCTAAATGATTTGCAGGTTCTTGAATGAAACCGAAGCTTGTGAAGAATCAATGTGGAAGAAGCCGAGAATGACCCGAAGAACAAATTGCCAAAATTTTGAATTTGCATAAACTAACTAACTTCAAAGCTGGAAAGAAGCCCGAATCAGGATTGAGTAACCCCAACCCGAATCATCATCAATTAGTTGACAAACTTACGGATTCATCGCGCTGTGCGGCAAAGGGATCGCGTTGCTCGTGATCCAGATACTTCTCTAAATTAAAGAAAGTATCGAAGAAAACGTGAGTCATTTTGCAGCGCTTCAAGTCGCCCAGCGTAATGGAATCACGGTTCGCAGGCTTAATCATGTCCAGCATCTGTAAGCAAATAGTTAAAGACCTCATCACAAAAAGCAATTTAAGATTAAAGACATTCGCCCACCTGACAGAGGCAATCCTCGAAGGGCAGGCATTCAATGCCTATGCCCTCCATGCGTTGCTGTTGCTCCTCATAAAAGTATTCCAGCTCGTACATGGACAGAGCACCGTCCCCGTCAATGTCCATGCAGCGGAACCAGTACTCAATGGCTGTCGGCGTGCGCTTATCCTCCTCGGACAGAATGAACCATACGAAGTCTGTATAGGACATTTTAGGCTCATCTTGGGGCGCCTTTTTGTTATCGCTGCGTGTTACACAGCCGGAGAAGATGCGTTCCACAATGCGGGTGGAGAGCGCATTGTCGCTGTGCTTGGCCAGATCGTCCTGGTTGATGAGCAGATCGTGATCCTTATCCAATTCCCAAAATTTACAATAGATCACATAGAAGTGCTCGTAGCTAAAGAAGGCCATGATTTGATTGATGTCCTCCTCCTCCTCCAGCAGACTAATCATCTGCGCAGGCAAATATGCTTCAGTTAAATTATATTTCTATTTCCGATGCCGCCACGGGGACTCACCTCGAGCAGATCGGATCGCTTGAGCTCCGATATGGTTATCTTGCCGCTCCAACTGCGATTCACCGAATAGAAGATACGCGCGATGACCGTGTGCACATATCTGGAATGGAATTCGGTGGCCTCCTTAAGAAACGCTAGACCCGGATGCGTATCGACCACATCCTGCACCATCGGCACCAAGTCCTCTGGAACAATATAGGAACGAAAGCGTTGACCGCGCGACAGAATATAAACAAATCGCGAGGCCGCCTCATGGCAATACACATTCATTCTGTATGGGAAAACTAATCAATATGGCAACAGATCCCGTCGAGAAACGCTATCAACTTAACTGCTTCCAGAATTCGACAAAACGCTGGCGTTCCACCAAGCCCGTGGTGCCTGCTTGGCAGAAGATCATAACCGGCATGCGCCAATAGAAGGGCAGGCCACACAGCTTCAGGATGCGAGGTAGCTCATCTTTGGTCACCTGATTGTTAGGAAAGCTATCGAAGGCGGACAAAATGCCGCGAATGACACGCTCCATGGCAATGGTTGGCTGCGGCTTGCCATGTGGAAAGTAAAATCTGCCTTGGAAATGCATAGTTAGAGATATTTATATATAAAGATATCTAGAATATTGCCGACTTGCCTGGGTATGTAAACGCTCTTGGAGCTGCGTATCTCCTTTTGCAATAGATCCTGCGAGGGCGGTGGCGGTGGCGTAGCATGCAGCTTAACCTGCAACAACAGCAGCATTTATCAGATATCCCATACATTATTGGATACATATAATATCAAAAACATTCTCGAATTCTGCACGCAGTTTATATGCCAAATACTTTTTTTGTTTATAAATTAATTTACCACACTTTTTGGCACAAATAAATATTGAGAAATTCTTGGTCTTAACGAGAAAATACGTTAAATTAATCAACGACTAGTAGATACCCTTAAGGCATCCATAATGGCTATAAACTACGATATATTCACTACGATATATTTGTTTTTTTTATCACCTTTATTTCTGATGATTATCATTATCATTATCATTATCATTATCATTATCATTATCATTATCATTATCATTATCATTATCATTATCATTATCATTATCATTATCATTATCATTATCATTATCATTATCATTATCATTATCATTATCATTATCATTATCATTATCATTATCATTATCATTATCATTATCATTATCATTATCATTATCATTATCATTATCATTATCATTATCATTATCATTATCATTATCATTATCATTATCATTATCATTATCATTATCATTATCATTATCATTATCATTATCATTATCATTATCATTATCATTATCATTATCATTATCATTATCATTATCATTATCATTATCATTAGCATTATCATTAGCATTAGCATTAGCATTAGCATTAGCATTAGCATTAGCATTATCATTATCATTATCATTATCATTATCATTAGCATTATCATTATCATTATCATTATCATTATCATTATCATTATCATTATTATTATCTTTATCATCATGATCAACACCATCATTATCATTATAATTATCATTATCATCATCATTATCATCATTTTTATTATCAATATCATCATTATTGATCGATAATTAAATGATTATTATTATCATCATTAACGATGATGATGATTCGTTATTATTATTATCTTATCATTATTATTTTAATTATTATTATCATTACTATTATCTAATAATGATCATTATTATTAGCATTATCACAAACACCATCATCATTAATATTATTAACAAGAATGAACATCGCAATACTATATTATATTACTATACTATACTATATTCTAGCCTACTATATTCTGCTATGCTATACTCTACTCTGCTCTACTCAATTGTACTATAGTATACCTTACTCTACTGCGCTATACTATCGTATACTATAGCTGAAATGTTTTTGTGTTCCAGCAAATATTGGCTCAATTTGTTTGTCAAAAATAAGGGTATATCATTTTCGGCTTTTCTGATGATTTGTAGTTTTTTTCTTTTGTTTACATTTGCACTTACTTTTGCCCTTTAAGTTTATTATAAAACATGAACCACTATTTTCATAAAGAAACTGCTGTTAATTGAGTTTTGTTTAAACATTCTAATGAGAGCTGGGTGTGTGTACGAATATAAATCAAAAAATACTTAAAATTTTCGTGGAAATTAAATTTAAATAAGCGAAAAACAAAATAACAAATGAACTGAAATTAAGTTCACATTGTTGTTGTAATTGTGCTAAATTCAGCCGCAAATTGAAGCTAAATTTACAATATCTTAATTGCCGTCAATGAAAATAATCTAAAGAAATCTATAGAAATTGAAATACGACTGATTATTTCTCTCTCGATCTGGCTCTTGCGCTTGCTCTCTTGTTTAAATAAATTAAGTTAGACACGATTGGAGCAAACAAAGCCAAAGGTTGATCATGAACAATTATAAAACGATTAATCTTAAGCAATTTAATTTTAAGAATTTTATAGTTTTTCAAGGGGTGATCAAAGATTGCTTCAGATTTCCAAAACTATATATTTATATTTATTGAAATTCGAACAATCTTTTCATAGTTTGAACAATGTTTCATTTATGCACAATTGTAAATAGAAAAGAACAAAAACAATAATTTATCAAAGAGATGATATAAATAGTTGGCAAAGCCCACGTGTAAAATGATCAATTAAATATCTTTACGCCCAATGCATATGTTTTTCGTACGCAATTGTTCTATCACATTCCTTTGTGGTCGATCTTTGTGTTCATTTCATTTGTACACCTTATAAGCAGCATCATTTGCTTTAGGCCATAAGTCTGAGAAGCATAAACCAAGCATTGGCCATTCATGATTTTAAAACTGTCAACGGCCGCATTAATATTAATCTCAACGCGCATGAGAAAAAAGAACGAAATACAAACACACACACACAAATAGAGTTCGGGCATCTGCGCGTATTGCGTATACGCACGGATACGCTTGATGGCCAAGCAAAATATTACGCATACGTGTAGCTGTTAAGTCGTAAAGGCAATAGATAGCGGCAAGAATTCAAGAATTGCGCCTGCTTCGACAACACAAATAGCACAATCAATCGCACACAAAGTTTTGTCTGTGAATTATTTATAGCAATTATTTACTTAAAATCAACAAGAAAAAAAAACAAATAGATTTCATATTGAAACGCAGTAAAGTTCGGCAGGGTAGTTGAGTTTGCTATAAACGTTATACTCAAGATATGCACACATACACATATCTATAATTAAATAATTTAATAGAAAAAAAATGGAATAATCACAATAGCAAAAAATACCCCAAAAATAACAATAAACATAAAAAAGTGCATTCGCGTTGCTTAAATAATCATGTGCTTGTATTGTATTTGTATTTGTATTTGGTTTTTTTTTTTAAATTTTTTTATTTTTTATTTTTACTTTTTTTTTTTGCCTATGTACAATCGTGCTGATCGTAAATGCTTAATTTGATTGTTTGTATACGAGAGTATGCATTCTCACTAGGGTCACTCACTGTAACAGTGCAGAAAAGATATATAGGCTTATCTATAATAGAGAGACCTTTTAGCTCACCAAAACGGAGCACATAAAGATTCTTAAAATTATAAAAATAATCAAATATATAAACTATCTGCACTATTATTTATGTCATCTCTGATAGATATACAACTGCTTCAGCAAAATAGTAGTGCGACTGAACACCAAATGTTGAACAACATAATTTAGAGATATACTAAAATTTTTGAAAACTATTTGAAATAAATATTAAGATGAACCTATTATTTATTAATTTTAATGTTGTTATGTTTCCAAACTTAAGTTGTGAACTTTAGGGCTTGTGAAAGAAAAATTCTTAAATTTAAGTTGTTCATAAAAATAATAGTGTCTACTAATAAATGAAAAGAAAATCCATTTGACATTATTTAAAACTGCATATATTATGACTGATAGATATATGAATATAGAGTTGCGAAAAGAAAGCTTTGAATATCTAAAGACGGTTTAGCTGTTTGCCTTGGAAACCTTGTATTGAAGATCATCGTAGAGCTCAGGTTTTTTAAATGTTTCTTTTTGGCCAACTGAAGTCAGCTCAGTTCTATAAATAAGCTACTTTTATTTGCTATTTTTGAAATATACGTCTAATGATGTATATATCAATATAACACTTGATGACATTCGCTTTACAATGTGATTTTGTTCTCTATATATTTCGCTATAGAAAAGCTATTGCTATTGTTATTAGGACACTTGTACAGTGAACACCCCTAATGTTATATTAGCAAATTGTATTGTTCGATGTTCGCTATCTATCTAGCTATATGTACAGCTCTCTAACGACTCATCGCTGTTGGCAGCCGATAGCTATATGGCGATGGCGTCTTGAGTTAACCTTAAATCAATCAACGATGCTCGATAACACGATATTTCTTAAAGTGCACATGATGAAGAGGGGGATCGAGAGAGGTAGAGAGGGAGAGAGTAGAGAGTACAGAGGGGCCCTAGCAATTTGTTGCAATTGTTGCTGGCGTGCGGCTGTGGTGAGTTTTTTCATGCGCTATTTGCAATTGTTAGATAACAACTGAACAACACACACACACACATATATCACACTCTTCTATGAGTGTGCTGTGCCGCACTTGTATATATATATATATATATAACTTTTTTTTTGAGCTTACCTTGAGCAGACTTTTGGGCGGCGTATCCGCTGGCCGTTTGATATCAAGAAACGAGTTGCGCACATCCGGACGCTTCTCGAAGAGCAGCACACGTTCAGCGACCGAGCCGCGCGTTAGGATCGGTCTGCCCACTACAAAAGTGAAGTGTGATTAAGCTATGGATATGGGTTTAATAAATGAATATCAGATTTGCATTACAATTCTTATCCTGGCCATTGGAGAGCGCTGCTCGGCTGCCGCTAGTCGGTTTGATTTTAGTCAACGTTGGCATCGTTGTGTCCGCCAATGTTGCTGGCGGGCTAACGGCAGCGGATGCTGCTGCTGTTGGTGTTGCAGTTGCTGGCGCGGTTGCTGTTGGTGTTGCTATTACACTCGCTGCAATGTTGCCAGCTCTGCTGTTATCAGTGTTGCTGCTGGCTCTGCTGCTGCTGTTGCTGTTGGCAACTTTGCGCGCTATTGCTAGCTTTTCTTTGGCGGTTGCTGCCGTCGCCGGCTTGTTTAGCTCGCTATTGTTGTTCTCTTTGGTTCTGTGCAATTTGCGACTGCCAATTGCCGGCTCGCTGGCGCTCTTAGATGGCTCATCCAGCTGTACCACACGTGGCGCGTCTAACACATCCACATTGTTAATGTTGTTGCTACGGTTTGTGTTGCTGTTGTTGTTGATGTTGTTGTTGATGCTGTTGCTGCTTCTGTTGCTGACTTTGCTTATCTTCTTTGTGGGCTGCTCCGTTGCTGTTAACTTGCTGCTACTGTTGCTTAAGCTATGAGTCACATTGCTGCTGTTGATCTTGTTGCTGCTGCTCAATCGCTTTTTGGCTGCTGTTGCTGTTCCTGTTTCTGCTGCTGCTGCTGCTGCGGCTGCTGCGGCTGCTGCCGCTGCCTCCTTGTGCAGCAGCTCACTGATTTGCAGCAATTGATGCGTTTGTTGCTGAGACAAATTGTTCACGTCCAGCTGCAAATTGATGTCATAGTTGCGATTTACATCGCGCAGCGACTTGCCTGACACAGCAGCAACTTTTTTTGGCGATTGCAGCGCCTGCTCCACGTGACTTGATTTGCCAGCTTTGGCAGTCGCTGTTGTTGGTGTTGCTGAAGATGTCACTGTTGCTGCTGTTGTTGCTGCTGCTGTTGTTGCTGCTGCTGCTGTCGCTGTTGCAGTTGTTGGTGTTTTCTTAGTCTTGCCGTTCGACTGCATGGCCACGCCCACTTCCGCTTTTTTAATGCCTCCACTCTTGCCTCGCTGTTCTTTGTCTTTGTTCACAAAGCTGGTGACCATCTTTTGCAAGCCCTCTGCATTGTTAAGATCTGTTGCCGGCGTCGCCGTCGCAGTTGCCGCCGCAACAGCAACATCCGCAAAGTTCCCAGTGGTGGCCGCGTTTGCGTACTCCAGCAGCTCGGCGGGCGGCGCTCCGGAATTCTTCCACTGGTGATAGATGGCATCGGCTTGCTCGCTTATCAGCTCGACCATCTCAGCGTGCTCATCGCTTTCGATTAGTGGTGTTGCCTTTGGCGCCTTGTGGTTAGAAGCTGCACCAGCGGCAGCACCAGCAACTGTTGCCGGTTTGCGTGTAGTTGTTGTTGTTGTTGTCGTTTTGCTGGCAGTTGTCATAGCCACAGTGCTGGTGCTGTTGCTGCCGGTACCGACGCCCCCGACGCCTCCGCTGCTGCTCAGCTTTTTTGTTTTAGTTGTTGTTGTCGTTGTCGTCGAAGACGCCTGCATTTTCCTTCAAAGTCTTCAACGTAGTCGTCTAAACTGCTCTTTTGTGTATTGTTTATTTTTTGCACGCACAATTTTTATGTCAAAAAAAAAAATAATTACATTCACATCTTCGATTTGGTCTATGTTTATTGCCACACTCGAACAAAAACTGTGTGTATTATATTTTTGTTTTTCAATTTTATTCTGACGTTTCACAGATTCAGAAAATTTTGGACATATTTATATACATATGCACATATGTATATATATATATAAATATATTTTTTTTTTTTTTCAATTTTCACATTTCAGAATTTGGTGGCCTGTAATTGGGTTTGATTTTTACAAATTTTCCTCGTGCGTTTCATTCACTTTTCACATTTTCACATTTTCCTCGTTTTAACTTCTCTCCGTATGGCGAAATCTATTTATATAAAGAAATACCAAAATTTCCTATTTCGTTAATTTCAGACGCCGACAGAAACACACAGCCCGCAACGTAGACGTAGACGCAGACGCACACACACACAGACACACACACACAGCCATCCACAACCACACACGCACACTCAAATATATAAATATACATATAACTGCGGCATTAGCATCGGGATCGGGGCATCATCTCAATACTCAAAGCGCTCACACCACTGTGCACAGTGCTTAACAAATGAGAACATTTGCCTAAATGGGAAACTTTTGTGGCATTTTTTAATTATTTACTGTTTCATGCTAAATATTTATGCAAAAATTCCAAAAAATATTTGTGGGGCCCAATATTTGTTTTATGTGTCAATATTCAATACTCAGGTCTTAAAATGTAAGATTATAAACTTATGCCAATATGCTTGAATATAATTATGTAAATAGTTAAAAAAAATAAAATTTTGTTCTCTTTTAGTTCTTGATTTTCAAAAGTTGCTAGTTTTGTTCAGTATTTTGGACTTTGTGTGTGGCCGTCCTATCATTCCATTTTATAATTGATTTACTCAGTAGTGAAGGGTGCGTAAATCAGTTAACATATTAAACGAGACGAAGTTATAAATAATTCGTTTTCGCACCTAAGTGCGAAATATTTTCTGCCCGGCAATTAATTGATCAATTTGTGCGCATCTTCGGCAATTGAGACGATGCAAATGAAGTGCAGGTCACTGTGCACGCGTAAGAGAATGAAACGAAAAATATATTGAGAGCTGCCCCTTTGCCCGTTGCGGCATTTTTGCCTTGTTTTTACGTTTAGCTTCGGCTGCTGCTTCTTCCTCTTCAACTTTGTACTATTTATTCGAAAATAAATTTCGAAGTAGTTGCTGCTGCTGCTGCTTCCGTGCTGCTTGCCACACACTTTTCTATTGCACTTAGCGTGTGTGTGTATGAGTTAGTTTCTGTGTATGGGTGTGTGCATGGGAGTCGGCGCTATCGAGTATATTTGGATGTTTGTCTGGCTTTATTAATGATTTAATTGCATTTATGCCCCTAAGGCGTGCTCTGACGACAGTCTCGATGACGCGCACCGCGTTGGTTGAATTTCGTCATTAATTAATAAACTAAACAAAAGGTTAAACAACGATTTGCAAATTGACATTTCATTTCGGCTGCCAATAGAGAATCGAGTTAACTGCGATCAAAGTTGAACGACAACAATAACAAAACACGCAAACATACATGCGCAGACAAGTGCGAAAACAGATGTAACTGTAACTGTATTTACACATGTAACTGTATTTACATATAACGACATTCATCTGTCTAGTTGGGCGCAAAAATTCGCATTTTTCTTATATTTTTTTGGAATCTGTGACCGGTGCGCTAAATTTAACAGTATATTGCCGTGTTCCGCGCAAGAGAATTTTTACCGAGCGCACGCTGCACGCGAACCGCCAAACGCTGCTGATTAGCTTCGTGTTGTTACTGTAAATCTTTGGCCGCCGCTCTGCTCGCAACTGAAAATAACATCAGTCGTCGCTGTCGCAGTCGCCGTCGCAGCGGGCAGTGCAGCCTCTGCTGACGTCGCCAGAGTGCGAAGTGGAAGTGATCTCAGCTGTTGCAGCAGCAGCTAATGACACTGAGAACAGACGATTAGGGCGCTCCCACACACACGCGCCAACTCTCTCTCTCTCTTTAGCTCTGTTCTCTCTCACGATTGCAAATGACAGCGCCATCGTCGAAATTTACTTTGGCGTTCTTTGAGCAGCATCAGTAGCCTTGCTTATGCTCTCTTTCGCATTGCTCTCTCACTTACCCCCACACAGCACGCACACTCAGACCGAAACGCAGACGCAGACGTAAACGCAGACGCAGAACACTTGCCGTACCCACACACAACACGCTGTCGAACACGAAAAAATAAAATAAAAATAAAATACTACAACAACAACAATAAAAGCAAACAACAAAAATCAAAGCAAAGGTGTTTGTTATTTATATGCTACTCAAAAGCATGGGGTATATACTGTCATGCAGCTTGCAGCTGCGAATGCTTAAATTGATTCTGTTTCAATTTGTTTAATTTGCATGCACTGAGGTCAGCTAGAATTAAGTAGTTTTTACTTCTTTAAAGGTGAATTAATAAAATTATAGCTGCTTTAATTCGAGAATGCTTTTGTGTGGACAACTCAAAAGTTCAGCTTACAATTTTTATAGTTAAAAATAATACAATGCCTGAATTTAATTTGAGCTCATATCAATTTATAGGGTATCCACGATGCAGTATAGTCGCATTCACTTGACTTTTTTTTCGTCCGACTGAGACACGAAGAGAAATAAAACCTGAAACATTTATTTCGCTTTTGCTAATGCTAAATAACTTATTTCTGTCGTGCCTTTTTTCCAACATGTTTGTTGCAATCAGTTTTTTTAATTTTGGCATTTTTTGCTGCTTTAGTCGAATATAATTTGTTTATATGAATTTTGCAGGTGGGCGCCTTTTGTTTGTTTAGCGCAACTCGAAATGATGTTCGAATATTTGCGCTCACCTCTGTCATATAAAAATGTCTGATGAGGCATCTTGGTTATTTACAAGTTTTTTTTTTAAGTTAATTTTACATATTACACTTATAAAACATACACACTCCCATAAACACACATAGATCACGCGGCGACAGTTAGTTTAACCGCAAGCAACTAGTGTAGCTACTGTGATGACGCTTCCAATGCTCATCATCGCGTTGCCGATGATGATCATTTTTATCGTGTTAATCATTGGACGCATCAGCGAAGCGCAGCTTCCGGTTAGCGTTCTGCTTTGATCTGCTGCCCGTTTCTATCTTTATTGCATGTTTCGGGTTCTGTTTCTCTTGCTGTTTCAGTTGCTGTTTCTCATTTTCATTTGCGCGCTTTGCTTTGCGGTAATTGATTTTAACCAAAAGATCTCAACCTTTACAGATGCTGATTGTCTCATCAATTGACAGCTATTTAGCTAAGCAGCGTTTCATTGCCATATAAGGGTGCCCCATCCCCTGCTCTTGCCAGCCCCCTCTTCGCTCACCTTGGATTAGCTGTGTGACCCAATTTATGCGTCTGTGTTGAGTTTTATTGTGCGCATAAAACAAACAAAGCGAGCTTTATGTGTCTGTAGAAGATTTGACAAAACCCAACACCCACACCCTAGAGGACCACACACACACACACGCACGCTCGCGCGATTTTTGTATATTTGTTTAGACGCTCTCTGACATGTGAGACAACACGTAAACAATAGAACACGAGCGTCACAACTGAAGTGTGAATAGACCTATTGATAGCACATTGTATGCAAAAGCAGCTTACGTCTAATGCTGCCGATTCGATCTCTGAATATAGTATTTATAGCATTAACGGTTGATTAAATGCAGCCGTAGCAGAGCTCTGTCTATAAAGTGATTAAAAATAGACAAATAAATGACTAACTGAAGAATATATAGATCATATTTAACTAAATTCAATGCTAGTATTAAAGTCTTTCTCATGCTCAACAAATATGATGGGAAATGAAATAAACAAAACAAAAATATATATATTTTATAATAATCAAATTCTATATTATAATATTAAATGCAATTGTTATTTTAATTCTGTATCATTTAATGTCAGCTTTGCAGCATAGAAAACACAACGTCGCGCTACACGGCGTATGCGCAACATATAAATATCTCATGCAAACATTGCGCATACGCCGCATGAACTCTTCAATCTTGCTTTGGCTCGTGCATCTATTGATATGCCGGTGCTCTTCATATTTGCACATTGCATTGACACATTAAATCGCTGACTTTCCACGCCCACTTTTCTGCTGCTTGCGGCACAATGTCAGCTCGAACGTTGGCCCACTGCCAGCCTGCTGCCAGCGAATCTGGAGCTAGGAAACCTTTAAAGTACATAACTATTGACATTGGCTGTCGTCGCGTCATCGTTGCAATATTATATTTTATATTCGTTTAAGTTTATGTTATAAGCCAAAAGCTGTTAACGCCTTTATTTTTAGGCCTTTGGGTGCAAGAACTAATTGAATTTGGTTTGGCATGGGCAATGACAAGACTATAAAAGCGGCGTCTGCGTCAGGCACAGACGCAGGTTTCCAACGACCAATCGCCGCGAATAGTCCGCTCCAGTGAAATTATATTCAGGGAAAATACAAAAACCTATGTAAAGAGTGTTAGAAATTTAGCGAAATACAAACTAATTTGCAGCTTTTTATGTAACACGCAGAAGTTAGTGCAAGTTAAAGCCGGGATATAGTGCTAAGCGGATAAACAAATTAAAAATGGAAAGGTAAGCAACTGGATAGCACATTTAATAGAATATATAGTTAATAAACATTTCTATTGCACAGCTTTGCAGCAGTAGCCACACAACTGGGGCCACACTTTGCCCCACTGTCCAATGGATCGGTAGTAGACAAGGTGAGAGAGAGAGCGAGAGAGATGGCGATAGAGACGAAGAAAGCGAAGGAGCTTACTTCTAATGCTAACTCTTACAGGTCACACCCGATATGGCGCACTTAATTAGCCCATACTGGAATCAATTTCCCGCTATGGATCCGATCTGGGCGAAAATTCTAACCGCCTACATGATCATGATTGGCATGATTTCCTGGTGCGGAAATGGCGTGGTGATTTACATATTTGCCACCACAAAATCGTTGCGGACGCCTGCTAATCTATTGGTCATCAATTTGGCTATATCCGATTTCGGCATCATGATTACCAATACGCCAATGATGGGCATCAATCTGTACTTTGAGACCTGGGTGCTCGGCCCGATGATGTGCGATATATATGCCGGCCTGGGCTCGGCCTTTGGCTGCAGCTCCATTTGGTCCATGTGCATGATATCGCTGGATCGTTATCAAGTGATTGTTAAAGGCATGGCCGGCCGTCCGATGACAATCCCATTGGCATTGGGCAAGATTGCCTACATATGGTTCATGTCGAGCATTTGGTGCCTGGCGCCCGCCTTCGGCTGGAGCAGGTGAGCTTACAGTTATATGGCGAAAAAGCATCTATCTTCATACTATGTTCGATTTTGAGCAGATATGTGCCCGAGGGTAATCTGACATCGTGCGGTATTGACTACTTGGAACGCGATTGGAATCCACGTTCATATCTGATCTTCTACTCCATCTTTGTCTACTATATCCCACTGTTCTTGATCTGCTACTCCTACTGGTTCATTATTGCTGTAAGGTAAACTGAGACTGGAGCGAATCTCTTTAACTAATATCTGCCTCTCTCTTCAGGCGGTCTCTGCTCACGAGAAAGCCATGCGCGAGCAGGCCAAGAAGATGAATGTCAAATCTCTGCGCTCGTCCGAGGATGCTGAGAAGAGCGCTGAGGGCAAACTGGCCAAGGTCGCTCTGGTCACCATCTCACTGTGGTTCATGGCGTGGACACCATATCTGGTCATCAACTGCATGGGCCTGTTCAAATTCGAGGGCCTCACACCATTGAACACCATTTGGGGCGCTTGCTTCGCAAAGTCGGCTGCCTGCTACAATCCAATTGTATACGGCATCAGGTACATATATATATATTCTCTATATACCAAAAGTCAAGATCAACTTAATTATTGTAACCATTTCCCCTTTAGTCATCCCAAGTACCGCTTGGCTTTGAAGGAGAAGTGCCCCTGCTGCGTCTTTGGCAAGGTGGATGATGGCAAGTCCAGCGATGCTCAGTCTACAGCGACAGCTAGCGAGGCCGAGTCCAAGGCATAAGAGACAACGACAACAACAACAACAACAACAACTTATTACAACAGCAACAAAACAACAACAACATCAACAACAACAGCATGAACAACTGCAGCAACAGAACGAAACGCTTTCGAATAACAATAATAACAATTTGTTACATAACAGAACTATGTTAACTAACATATGTCAATTTCAAACTTCTGCAATGTCAATAAAGACTAAAAAAACATACAAAAAAAATAAATGCAAACGAACTAGAAAAGTTACAAAATTGTTTAACTGCTAGCTCACTCAGCAGATTTTAGATGTTAGCCAGTACAACGGTATAACAGCGATTGGCTAACATTAAAATGGATAATGGCCAGACTGGGCTGCTAAACTATAAATTAACAGCAGGGCCTTCACATTTATTTCAAATGTACAAAATAAATTTCTGTTAAATACAAACACTATATTTTGTTAGCTCAACATTTTCGCAAATTTTTCAGAGTTTATTTCAGTTTATTATTTTTTTGTTTTTTTTTTTAAATTTTTAATTTTTGTATAATTTAAAGGCACTTAAGTTTCATATTATAAATTAACATGCATAGTAGATAAAAGGCAAAAACAATGCACGCAGCACACATATATACAATTTATGTGTGGGCGTGGAAAATTCATTTTAAGGCGTTTGAAAAACTTTCAACTTAATGCTAGGCATTTGCAACTGTTAGTAGCAGCACGAAAAAATATGACAACATTTACAATTAAACAGAATCAGTTAAAAACAACAACAATCCTTCTCCTTCTGCTCTCCCTCTCACTCTTTTTCTTATTCTTCTACTCTAAATCCAATTGGTTTCTGGGGCGGCTTAGTCATTCGCTGCAGGAAGCGTATTCGCTTTCGCTCTTTTTCATCTTGCCCTTGGCGAGGTTTATAATATCTTCATCAGTTGCATTTGTTGTGATTGTATTATTGTTGACGGGCTTGTCGTATGGGTCGGTTGGACTCTCCACGCATACCGAAGTACAGGCACGTTCCTGTATTATGAGTTTCCACAAACGCACCTCGATGCCAACGCTGAAAGAGATCAGAGCCAATGCTTGTAATATTATAATAGAATATATACATATACAAAAAAGAAACACCAACCGCAGACCCAGACGCATTAGATCCAGCTTCTCCATGTTATAGATGAAGTCCTCAAAAGTGAAACCTTCATTCAGTATGAGCGTCTTTGAGAATTCATCGATATCATGCTGCGCTAGCCACTGCTCCAATTGCTCGTCTATCTCATGCAGACCAAAATTGTGCTTGGTTAGCTGGCGGCGGGCATTGGCATTTTGGATTGGACGGGCCGCACCATTGCCCGCTCCGCTCGGGCTCATTCTATGGCACTTCTTGTTGAAGCCGTTGAAGGTGCGTCTGCAAAATAAATGATTAAGATATCTGTCGAATTTATTATTTCTTATTTACCAACTCACCTTAATCGCTTCCGACCGCCCATATAGATATGGGCTAGCTCCTGGCTGATGCTGTGCAGTGCACGCAGGCTCTGGCGGTTCTGCTCCATAATCTGTAACTGCAGCTGCTTTTGATTGTCACGTATATCCCGCAAAATACGCACACACTCCACTGAGCTGCTCATTCCATCCAATTGATCGGTGCCGCTGTTACTGCTGGCCTGCGCCTTATCAATTGCATTTGGCAGCTTCTCTTGACTGTCAGGAGTTGACTGTGGACCTGCATTATGTACACTCTCGTCATCATTACCCGACAAATCCTTATCCGCCAAATTGGCGCCCAGTTCAGGTGAGAATATGGTGACAGCCGCTTGCACGGCACGCTTAACTAGATTATCCAACGCAAACATCCAATGCGGCTTGATGCAGTGCAGCCGCAGCGCATACACGACCGCATCCTGAAATGAGTATAACGCCAAATGCAGGTGATCCAATGCGACGGTATCGTTATCTAGCTTCTGTTTCAGTTCGTTGATGGTCGCCTCCAGATGCTTCTCGTTCTCATTTGAAATGTAATCACGCAGACCGCGTATTAGCAGCACCAGATCACTATTACGTATGGCTATGAAGTTTTGATCTGCATTGATCTTCTTCTCCCAAATCTCACAGATCTTTGATTCGTCCAGCATCAGTACCTTGGACAGAGTGGCACGCCGCTGCGAGTCTTTTTTTAAACGATAAAACCCATCCGTTTCGCTCGTATCGCTTATGCTGGTACGTAGCGACGGCGTCTGTGGTTCAATCTCTGGCGATAGCAAATAGCCAGATGAATTGCGACGTTCAATGATGAAATTCTGTGTGCTAGTTAGCTCATTAATATCCACCGAAGCAGTTCCAAGCGGGACGCTATAAGATGCATTAAATGATAAGTAAATACAACTCAATTAAGCCACATTGCTAAAACTTACTCCAATTCCGGCGTGGTGGGCGTATTCGATGTAGTATGGTAAGTCAAAGGTGGAGCTGTTTTGTGCACCAAGCGATCCGCGGGCACAGAGATGCTGCGCCCAAACTCCGACGTGTTGATGGGCAAAGCAGGTCGCAACTTGCGCGGTTTGCTGTAAGAGAAAACAATCCACTGTTAATAACGGCGTACAATCTTCAGCAAGGACTTATTTACTCTGTGAGAAAAGGATCATCGAGTAGCTGTAGCGCAGAAGGTCTGTCCTGAACGCTAATGGCAAAGCAACGCAGTATGAAATTCTTGGCATTTGTGGACATTTCCTCCGGTATGTTGGGATGCTTCTTGTAGAAGCCTACCTTGAACATGGCTGCTTGTGGATTGCCCAGTTCGCTGAAAGGAGGACTGCCCGTGGCCATTTCAACATTTGTGCAGCCAAAGGACCAGATATCTGCGGGCGGTCCATAGCCACGCACGCCCTGATCGATGACCTCCGGTGCCATGTACTGTAGGGTGCCTGCAAATGTGTCTGTCATGGGATTGATGCGTGCCAAGCGCTTCGAAGTGCCAAAATCGGAGATCTTGACCACGCCGCTGTACGTGTTAACAAGTACATTGTCGCCCTTTATGTCGCGATGCACGATGTCCTGCTCGTGTAGATACTTGAGACCATGCAGTATCTGCTTGGAGTAGAAGGCCATGGTGGACTCGTTATCCTTGAGTGGACCCCACTTGGTCTTTAGCAAATCGGATAGCGAACCACCGGGCACCTGCTCCATGAAGATCTTGAAGAAGCCATCTTCCGAGCGTGAGCCCAAATACTGTACTATATTGCGATGACGCAGCTGCGAATGCAGCTTGATCTCCTCGTGCAGCGGCTGCACATCCTGTGAGTTCTTCTCCGGCACTTCTTTAATGGCAATGCGAACTTGCGTCTGTTTATCCCGCGCAGCATATACCGTTCCATAGGTGCCCTTGCCCAACGTAATCTTGCGATTCTGATCATTGTAATCGTACTCATACTGCAAGTGTTTCATAAGTTAACATAACACACGAGTTTATTAGCTTGCTTGGTTAGATAATGCTCACCTCGATTTGCGCCTCATCAGTCTCCAGATTTACAAAGACCTCCTGATCTGCAGTCATTTCCAATATGCGGTCATAGAAGCTTTGCCGGCACTCGGTGGATGGAAAATAGATTTGAAAATCGTCCGAATTGTGATGCACATATAGATAAGCACAGAGATCGTCCCGTTTGTACAGACTAACCGACTTGATTTTCGAAGCAACAAATAAGAAGTCGTGCAGTTTCTTGCAGGCATTCTTCGAATGAGCCAGGCAAATGTTAACAATCTGTATGGATTTCTCATCAGCGTCCATGTTTATGGTCACATAGCTGGGCATATAAATCTTGTTAGGTTCGAGTATCTGCAAAGAAGTAAGAGTTTAATAGGTGGATAGTTGGGTCGATCAACTAGAGTGCATACCAATATGGGAAAACGTATGCTATTAATCTCATTGACATTAATGGCCTCCAGAAAGAAATCCATCCAGAACTGAAAAGCCTGTTCCTCAATGGGCAGCTGTCGATCCTCGGGCTTCCGCCGAAAGCGATGTATTAACGATATGTTGCCAATAGTTGATTTTAGCGACCAAACAGGCGGCTTCAGCTTGAACATACACTCGGCAGCTTGGATGGCTTTCACATAGTCTTCGGCTAGCACAGAGATTTCAAAGAAGGTCGCCACATCCCAGTAGCCATTGAGCGTAGATAAGCTGCCCTTTTTGCCAATGAGATTGTTCAATGTCATGCCAATATGCTGCAGCTCAACTGTATTGCTAAATTCCTTTCCCTCGATCACTAGCAGTGTGGCCAAATTGATGCCTGCATATTCATTAGGCTGCACTTCGAAGCTTTGGCGATACCATTTGATAGCATTCTCCAGACTCTTCTTATCCGTACAGTCCGACTCGACAAACATATCTTTGTAAATGCGTCCGCACAGGCATAACATGTCCGGAAAGTGATTCTCCTTCTTCTCGAGCGCTTTGAGTGATGATTCCAGTGCTTTCTCTCGATCTCCAGGTCGATTGCGTCGATTTAATGCAAACGCATACAAAAAACTCATGTTGCCTGTCTCCACATATTTGCGTGTATTTGGTATGTTCTTCAAATCATTCACCAGACGCACCATCGCATCATAATCCTGCACATCCCGCAGGGAGCACATAAAACTGTGCAATACCTCGCCAGAGAGAACGTGTGGATCGTCCAGGCGTTTACGCATCTAAAAATGACGTCAAATTAATTAAGTAATCATTTCTTCAGTATATGTAAATAGAGGTATATGTATTAAACTTACCCCATGTAGAATGCTCTTCAGCTTATCATCGCTGGGCGCGTAGGCATCACGCGCCGCCCTCATATCACTGAGAAATTTTTCTCGCATATGTGCCCTGAAGTTGAAAAATGAGTTCATGTAAATAAATAGCTGCAATTTCATTGTATTGATGACTGTGTTGCAAGTACGGACTTTGATTGTATTTCAACATCTTGCAACTTGCGCTTGAGACGCGACTGCAATGTCGTTGGTACACGCCCATCAGTAGCTTGCTCCTTATTGCTGGCCTGGTTTGTTAGACTGCAGGTATTGGTCTCAGCGTTGCGTTTATAGCTGAGAAATAGGTAGTTGGCACAGGAGAGCTGAAAGAACAGAATGAGATGAAGATGTATATATATTTTATGGGCGTTGTACACAGTAAAATTTATTTTATTTATGATATTTATTTTCTCGCAGCCTAATATTATGGACGCCACAGTTAGTATCGGAGGTGAAGTATTAAAAATTGCTAATTTGGAACAAACACAATTTGAGCTAGACATGTATTTTCGGACATCACTATGTGTATAGGACGCCAAACGAAGGCTGTGTTATTGGACAAATATTTATAAGTGGAAACGATATTTAAAAGTGACGCGTGTTTAAGCACTAAATTGTTTGTATGAAGGGGCGCCTGTTTTTGTGGACGCTAAAGTTCATACACGCAACAACAAATTGCAAACAAACATGCTTTGAACTAGACATGTATTTACGTACGCCACTGTTAGTGCAAGCAAGCACAGCATTTGTTTATAGTGAGCGTGTTTATGTGTGAGTGCGGCGTGCGTGTTCATGTGTGAGTGCGGCGTGCGTGTTGTTTTGAGTTTTGCGTTGGCGTCCGTTCAGCTGTTGTTGTTATTTCTTTTATTGTTTTAGCTTTTCGTGCTGCAACGGCCAAAACAAATATAACAACTATTTTTTGTTTCACTAAACGGAAGCACGGCACAAACTAGCAACGCCAGCAGCAACACACACGACTGGTTGCTGCGTCTGATGTTTAAAACAAAAAAAGAAAGAAAGAAATATATGTAATAAACTTGTTGTTCTATCATTTATCTTATCGGCAGAACAGAGCCGATTATGCTGTGTTTTTGTTGTAGCTTTGCATTTGCTGTTTTTTTTACTGTCAACATCTTTGCTAATCAAGCCGCGTGCACACCTGTTTGTCTACACACCTTTAGGCTGAGCGTCTGTTTGGACTCCAAATCGTTGTAGATTAAAATGTTCTCCTTCATGCCAAAGCTTTCACGCACTCCATAGTGGTAGGAGAGTGGACGCTGCTGGGTTAATATGCTTAAATCGATTACGGCTACATCGGCATTATAGAATGTTTCCAGCACATTCGTTTCGCCGAAATCCAACCGCTCGAACTGTAGAATCCAAACATTTTCAAATATTATTATTGTATAACAGCTATGTGGAGTCTTAAGGCTTTTTGTGTTTTCATTTTAACCGCCAACGCACCTGCACACGCTGAAAATTTGCACCAGCAGATTGTACGGCCTGTTTGACCTCCTCTAGGGCACAGAGGCGATCCTCTAAATGATCGCCCACAATGGTATCAATTACACAAACAACGTCCATAGCTGCTGTCGCTGTATTGGCCTATTGGGCTATTCCTGGCGCAGCGCCTAGTTGTCGATGCAGGGCGTGGAGGGGGAACGCGAAACGCAGCAGAGTTAGTACGTTGTAGCTAACGTCTGTTTGGTTTGTTGCAAATTGTAAACAGCTTCATTACCACACACTTGTTTAAATTACACAGTGCTAAATGTTTTATAACGTATTACTACCGAACAAAACGGAATTTTGTTGAAATGTGCGCAGAGTAGATGTTGACGCCGCTGTAAAATGGCTACCAGTGTGACCAGATCCGGCATGTGTGGAAATACTTAACATTTTTAAGAGTGCACTCTTATTAACAGAGTTTGATAACAGCGCAATCTACGCACTTTATTTTATTGTTAAACTGCAAAAGATAACAAATAACTTAAATTCTTTCAAAATGAAAATAATAAGTTTATTAATAATAATTAAGTTTAGTTTGATAAGATTTAAGCTACTGAATCAACGCTAAGACAAAGTATTATTAAACAAATTAACTTTAGTCTTGCTTCATTTACACCTGTTGCATGTCCACAATGATTTAAAATAGGGTATTTCTTAGTCTACTCAAGACTTTATTGCATTTAGGCTGTTATAAAAAGCAGGTGGAATAACATTAACTAGCGTACTCCTTGAGTATTGAGCCGGCTACAACCAGACGTTGAATCTCCGAGGTTCCCTCATAGATTTCGGTGATACGCGCATCCCGATAATGGCGTTCTGCTGACAAGTCGGTTACGTATCCCATGCCGCCCAACACCTGGATGCACTGATGAGCGCACAGTGTAGCCGCCTCGGATGCGGCCAGTTTGGCCATTGCAGCCTCTTTCGTATAGGGTAGCTTGTTGTCCTTCAGCCAGGCAGCACGCCAGGTCAATAGACGGGCCGATTCCACAGCCAGAGACATATCGGCAATCTTCTGCTGTATGGCCTGGAGCTTAGATATGGGCTTGCCGAAGGCTTGACGCTTCTGCGCATAATCAACGGCCAATTCCAGCGAGGCCTGCGCAATGCCCAGCGCCTGACTAGCGATGCCAATGCGCCCAGCATCCAGAGTTTGCATAGCAATCTTAAAGCCAAGGCCCGTTCCACCTAGTAGATTCTCTTTGGGTATTTCGCAATCTTCGAATATGAGCTGGCAAGTGGAGGAGCCGCGTATGCCCAGTTTGTCCTCCTTCTTGCCCAGCGAGAAACCTTTGATACCCTTGTTTACTATAAATGCAGAGATTCCCTTGTGCTTCAGCTGCTTGTTGGTGGTAGCAAAGACTACAGCAGCCTCTGCTTCGAAAGCATTCGTTATCCATGCCTTGGTGCCATTCAGCACATAGTGATCTCCCTTCTCCGTGGCCACGGTGGATGCTGCGCCCGCATCGGAGCCATTACCAGGCTCGGACAGAGCAAAGCAACCCACACGTTCACCTGTTGTGTAGGGCGTTATGTAGGCAGCTTTTTGGTCGTCGTTACCAAAGCTCAACAATGGACCCAAGTATAGGGAATTATTGACGGACATGATCACGCCGGCTGAGGCGCAACCACGTGAGATCTCCTCCATGGCAATGGCATAGGCCAGGTAATCCAAGCCGGTGCCGCCGAGTTCCTCAGGCACGGACACGGCCATGAGGCCCAGTTCGCCCATTTGTTTAATCTGTTGCGCAGGATAAAGATGTTCACGATCGAATTTCGCTGCATTTGGACCCACCAGTTCGGAATTTGCAAAGTCACGGCATGTTTTCTGCAGCATCTGATGAGTATCTGGCAGCGCGGCAATCGAAGCAATTTGCCTTGCATGCAAAGTCTGACGGGCTGATAAGGTGTTAAGGATGATCAAGTATACATATCAACAAGTCAAAGTCCAGTGGAAACATTAACTTACCAATACCCAAGCTACTCCTTAAAACGGACTGCATTTTGCTAAAATTTAATTTTATACGTTTTTCTTAATTATTTAACAAATAGATTGCCGTGTTTAAGCAATTATTGTGTGGTTAATTAAACCGCTTAATAACGCAAATGGATTCGATACGCATGGTCAAGTCTATCGATATATTATGTAAATAAACAGAGGTTGTCTATTACGTTAACATACTGTTAAGTACGCCGTACGTAGAGCGCGCAATGTTAATGTTTAAATTGAGCTCTAAGTAATATTATTTGGTGATCAACGATTTCTATTACAAAACGTGTTTATTCTATTTAAAAACAACATTTGGTATAGAAAAACACATCATCTGTTAAATTTCAGCTGGCAAGGATAACAATTAACAGATATATTATCGTTTAGTCTGCGCCTGCGCCGCTGAAAATCAGAGAAGAAGCAGACCAAGTTTCGAGCTCGCACAAACTTGTTTAACGTTTTTTTTATTGCACAATTACATTTAATTCTATAAAAACACGCACATAGGGCACCTTTTTTTTGAAAGCGACAATAAAAACTAGTGATTATAAGTGAATTGCACGTGTTTCGATTGGCACCACAATTGTTTATTGATTTGCAGTCAAGTTTTGTCTCTTTTTTTTTCTCAACCTTCATCATTTGTCGATTTGAGTTTTTGTATTTATGTTTTGCTAATTTATTTGCGACGCTATAAATTGCTACATAATTAACCTGCTGGTAAGTTATCAGACTACATATTTTTGCATATATACACAGATGCATCGCTGGGGCAGTTGCTTAGCCACGCACAGCAGCCAAATTTGTTTATTTACAAAGGCAATTAAGATACGCAATAGCAGCAATTCGAGCTAGTGTTACTGACAAGCCTCTAAGCCGCGAGCACAACTGGTGCAGCTGCAGCCTTCGGCTATAGTTAGAATTATCAACGTTTTAGATAACGTTTAAATTTCATTCAGAATTTGTTAGTCCAGCTAAGTGTTATCAAATCTCTACTCGATCACAAAATAAGCGAAGTCGAACGCTGATAACGGCAACCATTTGCTTGCCGCCTTAATCGCTCACTCGCTGGCTATAAAAGTGCCTCTTACATCTGGCCAAGAGCTCAGTTACAGATCGACTGCTAGCCGAAGTTCCAGTGCCAATTTGTGAGTTCCTATAACAGCTGTTCAGCTATCAAAGTATACTATATAATCTGATAATATTTGTGATTGTGAGAATATATGATCTCCAAGACATTAGAAAGTGTCATAAATCTATGAAAACTGTGTTCAAAGTGGATTTTAAACTGAAATATATACTGATATACAGAGTTAAGTGTCACCATAGCTTGGAGTACCTCTATAGGTTTCTTATTTTAATTTAATAGCTGAATTACATAACTTTTATTATATAATAAGTAAAGACATCTTATTTTCCCAGTCATTAACAGTGAAATAAAATGAATTCTCACAATTTATCAAATCATAAATAGTTTATTATGGCCAACTCAGCATGACTAGGGCCAGACATTGAGCATAGCTCAGATACCTTTAAATTAAGATAAGATTTAATGCCAGTTTGTGAAATAGTTTCCGTCAAATAAACTTTTTGAAAAATTTGATTTTTATCAGCGAATATTCCGTATTTTCAAATCAAATTAACATTTATCTTGTTTATCATCTTTATTATAGCGGCGCTTGTGGCTGTCAGATAGAGCGCACACACATACACCCACACCCACACACACACACATGTACACTAGTATACTGGCACAACAAATGACAAGTTATTGAGATATCGACCTCGAACCGGATTGACAGTAATTAGAACAAAATGCAGTCCGTCACCGCAGATGAGTTGCCGCCGAATCCGCGCGAGACATCGAATCCGTTGTCCTCGCTGATGTTTTGGTGAGCTATATATATATATATATTATATAATGCTTAGCAAAAATACTGATAAATATCTATTTGATTTTCCTCAGCTATACCATGCCCACATTTTTCAAAGGACGCAAAAAGACACTCGACGAAGGCGATCTCTACCAGGCTCTAAAGGAGCACAAGTCGGGTAAGTGCATGACTCATTTACTTGAACTTAAAAAAGTGCTTAACGGACTTGGCCAAACTGTGCTCTGCATACCAAATGAGCTGGCTTTAGGTAGCATAATATGAATACTAATCAGAAAGACAAAGGAGCTTATCAATAAACAAAGCGTAGCACTTGAAATTCAATTTAAATTAATTAATTAAGAAAATCAGCAAGAATTTCTAGGCAGCTGCATATACAGTTATTGTTTATTTGTAGATAAAACTCACAAAAATTTAAATATATATAGACTTTATATAAAGTTAAGCCACAAATTGTACTCTTTCTAAATATAAATTCATAAGTTATCCCATAGGTATTACTATTATATAAACTCGTCATACACTCGATTTAGCTCATTTATATGGACTGACTTGACATGACTTTCTCGATGTACTAAAGCGTGCTATGACAAATCTTACACAGTGCTATTATCTATGGAAATATCAACTCTTCAGACATATTTTACGTGTGCTTTCGAGTGGCTAAAGGCGATATAACCACGCACTGGGACAGCACTTTAAAGTACAATATTTTGTTGCTTTGTAGCTCTACGATTAGATAGAATAGAGCATGTGAACAGGAAGCCCGTCTGATGGATAAGCAGCTCAATTTTAGCGCGAGACAATTGCATGGCCTTTGAAATACATTGGATCATGGCTAAGCATTGCATGATAGATACATATATGTATTATCGGAAGCGATTTCTCATAAATCAAATGCAAAGTCATCGTCAGATAAGATTCCTGTCACTTGACGCCTATAAAATATTCTATAATATGCAATAAGTTTAAAGTTTATCACGCTTATCAGGGGGAACTAGTTAATCATGGAAATTGAACTTTGATTTTTATGGAACCATTAATGGAAATAAAAATCAGTGGCTGTTGGAGCCACAACAAATTTGGCTCTGATAACTTTTTGATAACTTTGACAAGCTGGCATTGCCGCAATTAATGAGTTCTCGCCCGATTTGACCGCTCCATGATATATGAGATATAAAAGCATATATCGCGCGCCTATTCGCCCTAAAGTACATGGGCCCATAGAGACACCAAAGGCTGACATTAAGTGGGCAAGCGTCCAATCTAATCTGGCATGCGTCTTCAGTAAATATTTATATAGGTAAACAATGGCAAATTACTAATTCTCTCTTTTATTTCGATTTATCAAATACTCAGGTGTAGAGTATTGAGTATATAGAGTCGTGGACACACTTTAGATTGGCCAAAAACCAGTGCGGAAGTGTCTCCGTCTTAGGTATATATGCTATAGACTAAAAACTATATATACATATATATATATATATGTATGCATATGTATATATGTATATATACATGCATATATATGTATTGCCGACCAGCTTTGACCAGGTGCGATTAGCCAGTTAACTGATAAGCCCAAGAGACAGCTGACTGCAATACTGGGTTTTTTTTATTCCACAAAGACCATAATTCACATAGACAATAGCAACGTTAAGCTTGATATGCCTATTTATAGGCGATAAAAATCATGGACTTGAATCGTAACAGCTGAAATTATCAATATTGCTCATAGAATCAGTTATTTACAATCCTTCTAAACACTATAGGGAGCATAAGGCAAGCTGAGCTGAAGAGTTTTTTCTGATTCAGTCTGATTAAGATTATCTAGTATACTAGAAAATAGATTATATAATATATATATAGTAAATTTATAGACTATATAACTATAATGCCTAAAGAGTGACAAATAATTCTTGCCTTGCGAAGTATAAACTTATCCATGAATGATTCTCCTTTAAGGACAATTTAAATTTCAAAACATTATTAATTTATTCAAAATAAGCAACTTAATCTTAGCCATAAGGCAAAAGGTAGCGAATCGAAGCCTTACCCAGCCTGAGTTTGTTTTTAAGGCAGATTAATTATATGCACATTCATTTTGCAAGGCATCTCTATAATCAACCTTTTTCTGCCTCAGATACACTTGGCAAGAAGCTAAGCGATGCCTGGGAGAAGGAGGTGGAGGAGAAGCGTAAGAAGAAGAAACAGCCCAGCCTGTTCAAGGCAACGATGAGCGTCTTCGGCTGGAACTTTGGCATACTCGGTTTCGTTCTGTTCATAGTGGAAATGGGCTTCCGGTAAGCGCCCGTGCCCTCTACATATAACTAGTTATTTATGATCATAATTATGGTGCTTAATCCGTGACAGCGTGACACAGCCTCTGTGCCTGGGCGGTTTGGTGGCCTACTATTCGGACTCCAACAATCTGGAGAGCGACGATCAGACCACAGCAATTCTATATGCCGTCGGCGTGATCTTGTGCAGCGCCTTCAATGTATTATTTATGCATCCCTACATGCTGGGCATGTTCCACACGGGCATGAAGGTCCGCGTCGCCATGTGCAGTATGATTTATCGCAAGGCGTTACGACTCAGCCGCACAGCACTGGGCGATACAACTACCGGCCAAGTGGTTAATCTCATATCGAACGATGTCGGCCGTCTGGATGTCTCCGTGATACACACGCATTATTTATGGCTGGGCCCAGTGGAGATCGGTGTGGTCACCTGGCTCATGTACAGAGAGGTGAGTGGGCACTTAGACAAGTTAATTGGCTGAGTGACTTATTGACTGTGGGCTGATGCACAAGTAAAATACCTTTAGCTTAGTAAATCAGCTTTTCACCATTTCATATTCACTCTATTTTCATAATCCTCCACAGATTGGCGTCTCGGCATTCTTTGGCGTTGCTATTATGTTGCTGTTCATACCACTGCAAGCGTATCTGGGCAAGAAGACGTCGAGTCTGCGTCTGAAAACGGCTTTGCGTACGGATGAACGTGTGCGCATGATGAACGAAATCATATCGGGCATTCAGGTGATCAAAATGTACGCCTGGGAAATACCATTTAGCAATATGATCAACTACGTGCGCGGCAAGGAGATGAATGCTATACGTAAAGTGAACTACATTCGTGGCACTCTGCAGAGTTTCATAATGTATGTGACGCGCATATCGGTGTTTGTCAGCCTGGTGGGCTTTGTGCTGCTCGGCAAACTGTTGACCGCTGAGAAGGCTTTCGCTATAACCGCCTACTACAATATTCTGCGTAATACAATGACCATCTACTTCCCCATGGGCATCTCACAGGTAAAACTATTATTTTCATACCCTAAAGACTGTATCTCCCTTATTATTAACGTAGTAGGTGTGCGAAAAACTGGTTGGCAGCAGCTTTAAGAAAAATCTGTTAAAATAATGGTTTTAACAGATTCAATCAACTTCCATGTTTACATGTTTAGCTTGAGTTTTGTGGCATTGCAACCAAATTAATATTAATTTCCTTAAAATAATATTTTAAAAAATAAGTCAAAAGTCGCCTCCAGTTTTATGCACTCAATGCAATTCATTTTAAATTTCTTTGTCATATTATACTTAAATATGTTTACATTTCACGTTTTGGCTGGAATCCTTTAACGGCCCAAATGTTAAAATTCTGTTAGGGTTAAACGCCTATGTTATTAGCAGTGTTTCAAACAGCGATCGCTGTTCCCTAACATAACATGTTTATGTTACTTTTCAATATGAATATTAACAAAGCTTAATGACTTTTCAGCCTATAAATAATAAATAAAACAACATATACTATTATTTTGTATTAAAATGTTGCCATATTTACCCTATTATTTTTCATCAGTTTGCTGAGTTGCTCGTATCCATACGCCGCATACAAAAGTTCATGATGCACGAGGAGACGAAGGTTCGCGACAAGTCCCACGATGTGAATGACCAGAAAGTTAAGCCGTCCGGCACCATTGTGGAGGAGGCCGCGGCCACAGTCACTGGTATGCTGAAGCCGAACAGTCGCCGGACAAGCGAGACGGAAGCAGGTATTAATATTACCAAGCTAAAGGCCAAGTGGGATTCGAAAGCACCTGAGTATACGCTGGATAATATTAATCTGAAGTTCAAGCCGCGACAGCTGGTGGCTGTCATTGGACCCGTCGGCGCTGGCAAGTCCAGTTTGATACAGACGGTTCTCGGTGAGTTGCCTCCAGAATCGGGCACTGTGAAAGTGAATGGCACCCTGTCGTATGCATCCCAAGAGCCGTGGCTCTTTACGGGCACAGTGCGTCAGAATATTCTGTTCGGTTTGGCCATGGACAAGAGTCGCTATCGTCAGGTGGTGAAGAAGTGCGCGCTGGAGCGGGACTTTGAGCTGCTGCCGTACGGAGACAAGACAATTGTGGGCGAGCGCGGCGCCTCCCTATCCGGTGGCCAGAAGGCACGTATCAGTCTGGCCCGTGCCGTGTACCGCAAGGCAGATATCTACCTGCTGGATGATCCCCTCAGCGCTGTGGACACCCATGTGGGCCGTCACCTGTTTGATCAGTGCATGCGTGGTTATTTGCGAGATAACATCGTGCTGCTGGTCACCCATCAGCTGCAGTTCCTGGAGCAGGCCGATCTTATAGTCATTATGGATAAGGGCAAGATCAGTGCCAAGGGCACCTACGAGTCCATGTGCAAGAGCGGCCTGGACTTTGCCCAAATGTTGACCGATCCCAGCAAGAAGGAAGAGGGAGCCGGCGATGCACCCGAAAAGCGAAAGCTATCGCAGATCAGCACGCGTCGCAGTCGACAGAACAGTGTCTCCTCCATGGAATCGGGCGCTGAGTCAGTGGTCATGGAGTCACCGATGCAGGCGCAGGAAACTCGCACCGAGGGACGCATTGGCATGGGCCTCTACAAGAAATACTTTGCTGCCAATGGTTACTTTTTGTTCATTGTGTTTGCCTTCTTCTGTATTGGCGCTCAGGTGCTGGGCTCTGGCGGTGATATGTTCTTGTCATACTGGTAAGTAAATAACTGCATGTTAAGTTATATGTAACGGTATATTGATAAAATATATCTAAATTGTCTGTAAGAAGAATCTTAGCATTATCTTGATAAGAGACCTGCTAAGTAATGTATCTGTATGTAGTTAACAGTATATTAATAACATAGCTCTAAATGTTAAATGTGATGCCATTTTCAGGGTCAACAAAAACGGTGAATCTGAACCGGAAACCTTTATGTCACGCCTGCGTCGCTCCTTCATGCCGAGAATTAACAGCGAGACGGATCCCATTGATATATATTACTTTACGGCTATTAATGTCTTGGTGATTGTGTTCTCTCTGGTGCGCAGTGTGCTGTTCTTCTATTTGGCTGCCAAGAGCTCCACGACGCTGCACAACAAAATGTTCCAGGGCGTGACCCGAGCGGCAATGAATTTCTTCAACACAAATCCGTCGGGCCGCATTCTCAATCGTTTCTCCAAGGACTTGGGCCAGGTGGATGAGATTCTGCCATCGGTCATGATGGATGTCATGCAGATTTTCCTTGTCATTCTGGGCATTATTGTGGTGCTGTGCATTGTGAACGTGTGGTATCTGCTGGTCACGGCCATCTTGGTTGTTATCTTCTATTTGCTGCGCTCCTTCTACCTGACTACGTCCAGAGATGTCAAGCGCTTGGAGGCCACAAGTAAGTTCTGAACAAGAAGTTGATTGACTAATCCTGAAATCATTTCTACTCTCGATCTGCTGCAGCTCGCTCGCCCATCTACTCCCATTTGAGTGCCTCGCTGAATGGTTTGGCCACGATACGAGCTTTCGGTGCACAGAAGGAGCTCATCGAGGAGTTTGATAATTTCCAGGATTTGCACAGCTCTGGCTTTTACATGTTCCTGGCGACGAGTCGTGCCTTTGGCTACTGGCTGGACTTGATCTGTGTGCTCTATATAGCCATAGTAACGCTCAGCTTCTTCCTCTTCTCGCCGCAAAACGGTGGCGAGGTTGGCTTGGCCATAACACAGGTGCGATTCACTATCACAAACGGCTTGCCAAACTCTTCTAAGCAGATTCCTTTTATAGGCTATGGGTATGACAGGCATGGTGCAGTGGGGCATGCGTCAGTCCGCCGAGCTGGAGAACAACATGACATCGGTGGAACGTGTCGTTGAGTACGAGGATCTGGAGCCGGAGGGCGACTTTGAATCGAAACCGAACAAGAAACCACCAAAGGACTGGCCCGATGAAGGCAAAATTAAATTCGATGATCTGAGCTTGCGTTACTTCCCCGACAAGGACGCGGACTATGTGCTCCGTTCGCTGAACATTGACATCAATGCCTGTGAGAAGGTTGGCATCGTCGGCCGCACTGGCGCCGGCAAATCGTCCTTGATCAATGCACTGTTCCGGCTATCCTACAACGAGGGCTCAATTCTGATCGATCACCGCGACACCAACGAACTGGGTCTGCACGATTTGCGCAGCAAGATATCGATTATACCCCAGGAGCCGGTATTGTTCTCGGGCACCATGCGCTACAATCTGGATCCGTTCGATGAGTACTCCGATGTGAAACTCTGGGAATCTCTGGAGGAGGTCAAACTGAAGAAGGTGGTTGCTGACCTGCCCAGCGGTCTGATGAGCAAGATCTCTGAGGGCGGCACCAACTTCAGCGTGGGCCAACGGCAGCTGGTGTGCCTGGCCCGTGCTATACTCCGCGAGAATCGCATCCTGGTCATGGACGAGGCGACGGCCAATGTGGATCCACAGACAGATGCTCTCATTCAGAATACTATTAGGAATAAGTTCAAGGAGTGCACAGTGCTGACTATTGCCCATCGCTTGCACACGGTCATGGATTCGGATAAGGTCTTGGTTATGGATGCGGGCCGTGCCGTTGAGTTTGCCTCGCCCTTCGAGCTGCTCACCGTGAGCGAGAAGAAGGTGTTCCACAGCATGGTCAAGCAAACAGGCGACGCCACATTCGATGCTCTGCTCAAGGTAGCACAAAAGGTGAGTCTCTTCTGAACACATTCGAAACAGCGACACCAAATATTTTTTTATAATTCATTTGCACAGGCGCATGAGGATAATTTGCGGGTGAAAAAGGATTCTTGACATTTCGCCGTGCCGAAAGCCTTTAAAGACTACATACTTAAGATACTGGAACCAATTACTAACCACCCGGCTGCCAATGCGCGCATACAAAAGACCTTCCTATTCGCAGAGGCCTCCAAGCAGAAGCTGTTAGGGTAGCCCAAGATAAAGTAATGAAAAAATATATGAAAAAAAAAACAATCGTTAAGCAAAGGATTTTTATAAACACTCTCTCACACACACACACACACAGATGTACAAATTAAAAACAACTAAATGTTAGTTGAATTGAGATCATATAACTATATAGTACGAGATGTATGACAATAAGAGCTCAGATTTGAGCATCTAAATCAAAGAGAAGAAAAGACCTTTAAAAGGTCGTATGAAATGTGTTCCGTAACGACAATAACGATTAATTAAAAAACAAAAAAAAAAAAAAAAACAAAAAAGAAATGCTATAAACTGTTACGTCTAGTATTAATGTGTGTTTTTTATAGTAATTTATTAATGTACAGGTATACAGAATAAATGTAACATTTTATTAAATTTTTATTTCGAATTTTAATTTGTTTCAAAATAAAAATATTTATTTTTCCTATTTTCACATTGGCTGTTCAGTTCGTTAAAACCACTAATAGAACTGCATTTAAATCATGTATAAAAAACAGAGATTCAATGCATTTAAGAATAACAAAAAGAAAACAAAAATTGTATCTTCCATTTGGTGCAGAAGAATTTTAAAATTCTAGTGCTCTTGCAGGAGCTCACATTGAAAACTAAGAAAACGCTTTTTAAAAGCGCATAAATATATGATATATGATATATATATATTTATATTTATTTATATAGTAGCTGCTCTATTCACACACGAAACTTCATCTAGGCTTTAGCTTTAGTTGACATTATAGATACATATATATTTATATATAGTTAAATGTGTAATTCTATGTACTATATCTTATAATGTGCGTATTGATATCACACCTACACCACCAGCGACAGCCAGGCGCCAATCAAGCAGAAACCTCCGATTGTGGCATAATGCTGCAGTCGCTTCTTTCCAGTCAGAGCGCGATAATACATGCAGCCCGAGAAGATTACGGTGCCCATGATCATCAGGACTCCAGTCTGCAAAACAGAAAACCGAATTCAAATATTATTAAGCATACGAAAACAGAAAAAGAAAGAAACAAAATTAATAATATCGCATTTAAGTGTTAGACAATAATAATGTATGGCCTGCGTATTTTGATGTTAGCTTTAGTTGTTTGCTTTAAAAACAAACGAAACAAAAGAAAAGGCACCCAAAGGCAAGCTCTACGATTTACTTATCGCATAAGGCTGAAAACAAAATTATAAACAAAGAAAAATTTAAGCAGCGTTATTGAAGCTGACTTTTGGTACATTTTTTAAACAAACGAAATTCAAGAAAAGAATTTAGTCTTAAGCTAAACCAAATACATATTTCCTATATCCTCTAAACCCTATACCATATCAGCTCTGAACCTCTCATATCATCTATAGTAAAAAAGAAAATGATGTTAAATTTAAATGTTAGCAATTATCGTATACAAGTTTCGTAATGTGGTATTGAAATTACTTTTAAGCTGCAATTAGTGGTTGTTGAACATTTAGCTTTAGCTTTGAAGAGACAAGAAACAAAAAACATATTTCATATACAATCTGAACTTCTTATAGATCGTAACGCTTAGCAAATATCAATCTTTACTCATGGTTCAATTGGCCTCTTATTTTCTTCTTTTTATTCTTTTGGTAATTAAGTGAGTGTGTCAATTACATACTTATATACATGAAATTCATATTGATATACACATAAATATTTAAAATCGAAAATCATTGAAAGAGTAACGCGAGTTGTTGTAAATTCCGTTCAAAGATTTAACTTTTACAAATGACAAGATAACTGAAAAAGCTTTATGATGCTCAATAAACTGTAAACAAATAGAATTATTTTCTTTATTTATAAAATGGAAAATGGGAGTAAGTTGGGGCGTGGCCAATGCCATTATATAGGATATACACTGAAGGCTGTGCCTAGTATCAACTAGTATCAAATAAGTTAGTAGATATCAATAAAATCCGTGACCGAAATATAAATATCTTAACAACAGTTATGCACGGAAATCTTTCGACGATATGAAAGCTATGAGGTTAAGAGTATTTTCTATATCATTTTTGTTAAATAATCATGCAGTTTTCATTTGTAACAAGTAAGAAAGCTCTAGTCGGGGTGCCCGACTAGGAGATACTTCATAATTAAAAAAAAAAAAAAAAACAATCAAAAAAGTTTCATCGCCGCGAGGATTGAACCCGAGACTAAACGCTAACGAGCGCCGCCTCTACCAACGCAGCCTCTTTCAAGAAGAGTTGCAAATTTGAAGTTAAGTAGCAGCTAATAATTCAGCACAATTCAAGCGCAATTTCAATTCTTGGAATAGAAAAGAAGAATTGAATGTATGTGTGCACAAGCATTGGAAAAATGTGTGCGCGTGGCGCGGCTGACATGTGCTTTTGCAAATTGGCCAAACGTTTTGTTTAATAACTTCTGTTTTACTTAATGGATTTTAATGAAATTTCCAGCATATGCTGTACATATCCTATTGGCTTGGTTGAGATGCAAACGCCTTCACTTAATAGCCCTAGTTCCAACTAAACTTAAATTTTAAGAATTTGGGGAATTTTGGAGCAGGTATCCAAAATCCAACAAAAATCAAAATTGCATAAAATATACATAAAACTAAATACAAAAGACGCTCTTAAGACGTTCGAGATATAATTTGTTAACTGCATTTCAATCATGTTTTATTCGATAACAATTAAATGCGAATAGTTATCGAATATTTGAAACAAACTCGATATGCGCGTGCTATACACGGACCTACAAAAAAAAATTTCAAGTCTCTAGCTCTTAAAGATGCTGAGATCCACGCGTTCACACATACAGACAGACGGACAGACGGACAGGGCTCAATCGACTCGGCTTGTCGTCCTGATCAAGAATATATATACTTTATGGGGTCTGCCACGCCTCCTTCTGCCTGTTACATACATTTGCACAAAACCATTATACCCTGATTTCCCATTTTCAATGTGATCAGGGTATAAAAAGGGGAGTTACACTTTCTGCGTTATTCTTAAATTTATATACTCGGCTCTACTCTACCACTTGTTTCTGATGGTCGCATATATAAATGGTGCAGTGTATACAAATATTAATAGTATTAAACATACTTATTATCCCATAGAGTATATACATCTCCAATACTTACAAAGACTGGGTAGTGAGCCAAAGGCATGCACATTAGCGCAAACGAATGTAGGAAATGTATACGATTGGCAATATCAGCAAATGTTTGCGACTCTTGCTGCACCTTGGAATCATTCACATCTTTTAGAAGGTACTTGCAATAGGCGCCCATAAAAATGGCCGATGCACCACCCAAGCCGGCAATTCGAACAAAATTATAGTGGCTGCCGACAATACGATGTAGCGACATATTTAAAGGTTGCATCTGCATTGGGGCTCCTACAGGATTACTATTCGGGGACAGCTTCTTAGGACGCAGACCCTGCAACAATAACATAGTGAATCTAATATGATTTGCCGCAAATGACATACAGTTACAATATGATGCACTTACTATCGCTCGTAGTATTGAAGACGAAGAATTGATTATCGTGCGACTGATAGGATTGCCAATGGTTAGGTACTCCAGAGCATCAGCGACCGACATATTTCTTTAACTAGCAGATATAGAGATCAATGTGGCAAGTATATTATTGTACTTTTTATATTGGACCATATATTTAAGTTTCGGTGCCTGTGGATGAATACGGTGTGGCGTTGCCAGTATGGCTTATTGCGCGAATAACTTTATATCGATATTCGATTGCATCTGAACAGTTACTGTAAATGTAAATTTCAGTGTTATGTCGATATATATTATTTTTAAATTAAAATGTTCCTAAACTAAAAATGTGTAAAAGATTTTTGAGCCAATTTGAAAATACAACTAATTTTTGAGATAGATCGGAATTGATATACATATGTATATGTATATAATACATTTTCTTTTTAATCAATTTAGCCAGTGTGACCGCTAGACACATAGTCTGATTTTACTTTCGATAATCGATTAATTATAACAACGGTTACTTATTACTTTGAGTGTATTTGCAACTATAAAAAATGTAACGAATATTATAGCTTATCTTATTTTTACAATTGCATAAAAGTATTAAATCTAAATAGAACTATGTTGGCATGGGTGGTAGCCCTTTAAATCCACGTGCCAGTAAGAAGTGCTCCGCAGAGTCGCCGCGACTGGCGCGTGGCTTTACACGTTTAACTTTTTCGTAAAAGAACAACATATCCTGTTCCAATTTGGGTACATCGCCATTATCCCAGATTTTGACAACCAAATTAGCTTGTGGTGCTGACATTGCTAGAGCAAACTTGAGGACTTCGTAGCATAGATTTGTAATGCTCTCCTGGTCAAGCATACGCACGCCCGTTGCATTCGGTGCCATGTCCGATAGTACGCAGTTGACTGAGCGACCTGCTAGCGACTCCCGTAGACGTTGCTGAGCAAAAGAGTTAGTAAAATCCATTCCACCAAAGATAGTCGCTCCTGGTACTGCATGAAAATGAAGAATATCTATGCTATATACAGAACCCTTTGGCAGACGGTCGTTTTTGCCATTTGCGTTGGTTCGCTCGGCAGCCACTTGTGTCCAACTGCCTGGAGCAGCACCACAATCCAAGACTACATCGCCGGGCTTAAGAATTTTATATTTATCGTCTATTTCAAGAAGCTTGAATGCGCTGCGACAGCGAAAATTTAACATGCGCGCCTTTTCCACATACGGATCGGCCAACTGCCGCGTTAACCAATCCTGGGAACTTTTGCTTCTACCTTTAAGGTTGTTGGGCTGTTGCTTGGCGAGTTGCACTGCATTGTTTGTCTGTAGAAACCGTTTAATTAATAAATTTCCTGATCTGATTACCGGTTGCCGCATTGTGCAACAATAAAAACAACTGTTTTTGTGAGCATATTGAAACGGGCATACTTAAGGAATTTAGTATATTTCTCAATTTTGGTATTTTTAATTTGACTAGTTCCTGGAACAGATGGCGAAACACAGTTGAAGTGCTAAATTGTTGGTAGTTTTTTTTTGTGTTAATCTTATATACAAATGCTTAAAAAAGTGAATTAGTATTTACGATAAGCTATCATTATTTTTTATTTCCGAACTAGTTCAAAGTATTAATAGGAACGTTCATTTGATTTGTTGATGGTAACCAGCGTGACCCAGTTCAATTGAGTTTGCTGAGCAATTTTCTTGCTCATACGCTCTCGAACAGTATAACTCTACGCAACAATGACGAATGAAAGAAATACGCAGTTAATGTAATCCAATGCAAGTGTGTGTGTAGTGTCAAATTAAAGAAAAGAAAAAAAGATTTGTGAAAATATGATACATTCAACTAACTGCAAGTAATTGCGAAGTGCATCAATTATTAAACGTATAATATATACATATATTTTTCCGCTGTTGATCGCGCGATGTTAACCACAACAAGAAGAATTAAGTCGATATCATATAGATTTTGCAAAATGAAATACTTCGTTTGTTGTTGCGCGTTTTTTTTGCTATTGAGTAGCGTTATTGCATCAGCAGCAAAACAAACTACAGGTACAAACGCCGACTCAGCAGAAGTTGTGAGCAGTGCCGAAGAAAAAGCGGTAAGAGGAGGCAATAAGCATAATGCGGGCATTTTAGTGTGGCTAATCAAATAAATAGTTGATGACAATTAACGAATTGGTTCTTCGTTTCTCCACTGTAGGATTGCACAGACCTTGCCCGCGACGAGGAGGCGTTGATGGTATTCTCCACGCTGGGTGGCGGGCTAACGGCAATCGATCCGATAACAAGCGAAATACGCTGGACAATAGCAGATGGTAATTACACGCACAAACATATCTATATATGTATAAGTATAATTAAGTGACACACTCACGCACACAAGTACACAGGAGACCATTACCGTTTCAAAGTTTTAGTTGTGGTGTTTGAAATGCAATCGTAAAAGGTAACCTCATTTTACATCGTCTGTCACTCTCTTTCGTGCTAAGAGTGTGTGTGAGACATTAAGCATATGGCAACTCTCCCGCTCTCCACAACCTGCTCACCGGCAACGCAACGACCCCAAAACTAGTAAAAATAAAGAAAATCTGTTGCATTTTAAGGCATTTCGCCATAGTTGCGAAAAGTGTAGCATAAAGTAAAGTGAATTACACTTTGATGAGCTCATTGTACGAAAACAACAAAATATATATGTGTACATAAATGCATGTGTATATATTATAGAAAGCATACTATATGCCAGAGCAGTAACAACCGGCGACGATGCTGTTGCTTTACTCTAATTACACTTTTGCTCTCGCCAATGCGCCGTTATATTGTGTTGTGTTTTTGTTTTCAACTGATAACGAAGCACACGATGTATGTATGTATGTATGTATGCAGTCTTGAATACGAGAGTATGTCTATATGTGCTTGCGGCTGTGTAAATGCGTAATCTAGACGAGCCACGCTCGCAACACAAAAGTATGTGTGCCTAGTTCCTTCAATTAAATTCGATGCGATATTGCCGTCTGTTATTAAAAATATTTTCGGTTTTTGTTCTTCGTGCTTATGGCCAGTAGCCAGGTGTCTTGGAGTAAATTAATGGTCTATTAGAAGTGTTTCATTATAAATGTACCTGTCTGATTAGGCAGAATGCCACTAATGCGCCCTATAAATATGTACTGTATTTATGCCATGCATAAATCTGTTGTTTCCAATAACTCAGTGTACAACATGCACATAAAGATTGCTAATTGTTCTTGATATACATTATACACATTAGCTCAATGCGTGTTTATAGCCAATTGTTTACTTACTTGTTTAATTTTCGTCAACGGAAAAATACATATCTTTATATTTGAGTTGTTGCTTTTGTCTTTATGTTTGGCGCACGCTAAAATATTGCTATAAATACTTATTTATTTTTTCTTGTTTCTATACTGATTGCGTGACAGAATTTGCATTATCAAATATAGAACCCAACTGTCCCGTTCGTTGGTTATCTCGCAAAATCCTAACAATTATTTATTATTTACTCCACAATCATCATCCGGTACAGCAGAAAAAGATACGCCCACAAAGAGATGGCTTGTTGCGATAAGTCTATAAAAATATGTATTTAATAGACTATAGGAACATATGTAGATACATATATATATACTAAATATAATAAAAGTCTATATAATGTACTACAAGTCGAAAATTTAACGCGGTATTTCTGTTTCGACTTTTTATTTCCTGGAATTTTTATAACTTGAAAAAACACATGTGTAGAACATCCGAGCTCGATTTTGCTAGCAAGCAAGTTCTAGTATTTTAATTATTGAATAGTTGATTATAAATGGAACCGCTTACTTCATAAACATGATATGTAACGAGTTTATAAATACTATAGGAAGATTAGTCTTGCATTATTTATTATAATCAGTCAGCCATAGCAAATGTGCAAGTACTGCGGCGTATACCGTGAAGCGAGTCAGGGTAGTAGGTGTTCATTCAATAGAGCTTTTACTATAATTTTGAATATTATTGATTGATTGTCTAGATATGGCTGTGGACTATTACCTCATCACATGCTCTAAGCGGAGCAGTCTTTGGTTAGAAGCGAGTTGCTAATTAGAGTGCCCGCCGAGGCGAGTTAAATGACCTGCTGGAGAGAAATGGTTGCCACAAAATAAAGTACACCTTTCTTCCTCTCTCTATATATATCTCTCACTCTGCCACTCTACAATGTATTTTCATTAATTATCATCGGCGTGCTGTTGGTTACTTTGGTGATAAGGCTCAGCACGAGAAATGCGCGCGCAGCCAAGTGTTGATAAAGCCAAACGTCGGATTGTTCGACGCTCAATTCTTGTTGCCGACTACCCGCAACAAGTAAATTTTTCTACAAACTACAACAAAAATGCAGTGTTAATATACAGTAATAACACATTGTTGATGATTGTAAGGCATTACAAAAGACTTTCAGGCATTTTGACAAATTATATTCGATATTGTTGTCACGGCCAATAACTCACTCTTTGTGCTTAACAGTTACTATTTTCAATTGTTTACGTTAGCTAGTCAATGTTGAAAGAAATTTTCTATATGAATTTTAAAGGTTTCCTTTTTGAAATTGGAAAGCCTCTTTAAATTCGTTATAAAATATCTATATATATAGATAAAGATAAGGAATGATTGCACAAAAAACCATACGCCCATGCACTGGCTATGGTAAATATGTGCTCAAGTGTTTTGTCATTTCTTATATCAATAAAAGATAATGCTTAAATTTGGTCCAACTTTTTCGCTGCTTATTTATAGTATTAAAGAGCTTGAATTATAAATTTATATTCTCTGTTTCAGATCCTCCTATTGTGGCGGAACCGCAGCAAAATGTACAGGTACCACATTATCTGCCAGATCCTAGAGATGGCAGTATTTATCAGCTTGGACAAATGGGTAGCTTGAAGAAGCTACCCTATACTATACCGCAATTGGTGGCCAATGCGCCGTGTCGCTCATCCGATGGCATTTTGTATTCGGGTAAGAAGAGCGACACCTGGTACATGGTCGATCCAAAAACAGGTAGGCGTGAGAAAGTGATGGGATTTGGCGATGCTCAAATGGATGGCAATGACGGTGAGCACATTGGTTGGGCCACATCACGTGCCATTTACTTGGGACGCACACAGTACACGGTCATGATGTACGACAGCCAGGCCAAGGATAAGAATGCCAAGCCCTGGAATATTACCTTTTACGACTACAATGCGCTCAGCGCCCCGCCAGAACTAGCCAAGGAATATGGTAATAATTTGTACAATTCAATGTATTGCAAGTCATAAATGTAATTGATTTATTTATAGAATATATTCATTTGACCACCACCAGCAATGGCCACATTGTTACCCTCGATCGTAAGCAGGGCAAATTTTTATGGCAACGTGATCTGAACAGTCCCGTTGTAGCTGCCTTTCTGCTAGGTCCCGATGGGCTGCTAAGCGTACCATTTACCACAGTCTCCGATGAGGCCTATGATGCTATTCTAGAGGAGTCCAAGACGGGCAATGTTAATACGGTTAAACTATTGTAAGCAACACACACGTCTAAATACATTTGATTTTTAGAAAAGACTTACGCTCTCCTTTTGCAGTCAATCTTTGTATGTGGGCGAGCATCAACGTGGCCTCTATGCTCTTCCGTCGCTGGTAAATAAGAATACACCACGTATATCTACAACGCCGCCCATCAAATTGCTCGATGGACCAGCTGTGGAGTTAAATAATGAACAGGGTAATGATCCGCGCACCGTTTACATCAATGACGTACTACAAGAAAATCCGGGCATTATGTTGGGCCACTATAACATGCCCAATGAGGTCAACAAGGGCAATTTGCATTTATCTCCAACACCTTCTGCTGGCAAAGATGTGCAAAGTTTGGCCACAATACATAACTACAACGATGGTTATGGCCTGTTGGCCAACAATGAAAAGAATGCTGCGGATATTGGTGTGCAAACAGATCCGAACGTGGTTGAGATTAGCATTGAGCCAGCACGCTCGAACACCATTAATCGCACCAAGACCATAATTTTGGCCAATAGCAACAAGGTACAGGCGTTTATTAATGAATGGTTCATGGAACATCCCAGTGGCAAGGTTCATCAAATATTGATTGTAATTGTCCTAGGCATGGTTGCGCTCTTTTGGTATACGTGTAGCACCATGCGAGAGTTGCAGAAACAGAGCGAAAATGGATCCAAGACAATGGCTCAGCAGGCCATAAACAGCAGCACCAATGGTAGCACTGGAAGCAATGGCAGCAACATCAGTACTCAGGATCTACTTGATCTGGGCAATGGACATGTACGTGTTGGCAAAATTAGTTTCAATTCTAATGACGTCTTGGGCAAGGGTTGCGAGGGTACCTTCGTTTTTAAGGGCAACTTCGAGGAGCGTTTTGTGGCTGTTAAGCGTTTGCTTCCGGAATGCTTCACCTTTGCAGATCGCGAGGTGGCCTTACTGCGCGAATCGGATGCACATGAGAATGTGGTGCGTTACTTTTGCACAGAACAGGATCGTCAGTTTCGTTATATAGCCGTTGAGCTGTGCGACGCCACTCTGCAGGATTACACCGAGGGCGATCGTTCGATGGAGCTTCGTCAGCATATTGATATTTGGCAAGTTCTGGTGCAGGCAGCAGCTGGACTTAGTCATCTACATTCTCTAGATATAGGTTAGTTGCACTTTATCTATATTATGATATTGGTTAGTTCAATTCTTACTGTTCATTTCCTTGCAGTTCATCGTGATATAAAACCACAGAATGTACTTCTGTCGCTGCCCGATCCCAAAGGCAAGGTGCGCGTTATGATTTCGGACTTTGGACTGTGCAAAAAGCTTAACTTTGGACGCACCAGTTTTTCGCGTCGCTCGGGCGTTACAGGCACCGATGGCTGGATTGCCCCAGAGATGATGCGTGCTCAGCGAACCGTAAGTCCTATTGCATACATAGACTTGAACGGAATGCTCATGAGTTCGATTTCTGTTTCTTACAGACCACAGCTGTAGACATTTTCTCGCTCGGCTGTGTTTACTACTATGTGCTGAGCGGTGGTCATCATGCTTTTGGTGACAACCTCAAACGGCAGGCTAATATACTTTCGTACGAATACAACTTGTCCAAGTTGCGCGCCGGAGATGAAGCTGAACATAGCAGAATTGTAAGTTCTGAACAGCATCAAGTATTCGACATACACTTATTAAAATCCTTTCTGTAGGTATTGGCGGAGCAGCTTATATCAGATATGATACACAAGGATCCACAGTCGCGACCGCCGGCCCGCTGCATTGGTAATCACCCTCTCTTCTGGGATGAGCCGAAAATGCTCAGCTTTTTGCAGGATGTTAGTGATCGTGTGGAGAAGCTGCAATTTCATACCGAGCCACTCAAATCATTGGAGAAGAATGGACGTATAGTTGTTCTTGACGATTGGAACTTGCATTTAGATCCATTGATTACAGATGATTTGAGAAAATATCGCGGATATATGGGCGCCAGTGTGCGCGACTTATTGCGCGCGTTGCGTAATAAAAAGCATCACTACCACGAGCTAACGCTTGAGGCACAGGAGCTGCTTGGCTGTATACCACACGAGTTCACTAACTACTGGGTGGAACGCTTTCCGCAGCTCATCTCGCATGCTTATCATGCATTCAGTATTTGCTCGAACGAGCCCATCTTCAAGCCCTACTACAGCGTCGGTTACCACTTTTCGCGTCCTTGGTACTTTGATGCTGATGATGCACTGTTTCCCATGCTAATGCGTGATCCCAAACCGTTGCCGAAAATGAGCAGTCCAAAAAAAACGCCGCCGGCGCCGCCGCAGTTATCACTGATCCAGTTGCAGCAGCAGCAAAAGGTTAAGCAACGCAAGGGTGCTTACAACTTTCGTAAAGTTCCAAATGAGGAACTGATGCCCGGCGTGGGGCTGCAACGGAATATAGAGCCGGATACGCAGGCACTCGATGCTGATATGGCCAAACGCGATGTTTTTGCCAATTTTCAGTTTAGACGTCCCAAGCCGACTAATCGAAATTATGCAGCGGGTGCCAAGGAGCAGGAGAAGGATAAGTTCGTTAGCTGGACACTGCCGTCGACTACGACGGATTAGAATTGAAACTATAGATACTTTACTAGTTGAACTTTTATTATAATTAGTAATATTATTTTAATTATAATTAGTAGTAACTATTTTAAATTAATTGTGCAATTCTTTTATGCGACTATTCCAAAATAATTCCCCGATTTCATTTTAGATTTTTTAGCTAAATCTATCTAAGCCGTACTGATTCGAAAACTCATGCGAAGGATAAAAGCTAAATTTATTTTATATATAAATATATATATATATAAAGATTGTATGATAAGTCTAGGCAACTGAAACGATATGAAAAGTGTATCTTTCTAATGCACGCAATTTAACTGTGATAATTTTATGTAGTTCTGTTTTAATGCCCAAGTGCAAATTTATATAGAAAATAGTGCAAGTTTTATATGCCTATATAAATATATAATTAAGAGACTCACAAGAAAGAGCTACCGATATTGAGAGTGGATGAATATTCACGTATAGCTATTCTTATTCAAAAAGAAATGCACTTAGTATTAAACATTTAATAACAGCAAAACAAGATTCTTTTCCTATGCACATTTCTATATCCCTTAACAGCCTTGTTTGCATTTTGATAAGTTTAATAAAAAATAATTATTTAACTGTATAAAAAACTTGTATTATTATATGAAGTGTGCCAAAAAACGTAACTTCGAACGCACTTAAAATCAATATCAAAATCAAATTCGACGTAACTGCTAAATACCTTAACTTCTGACTTTCTGAAATTTCTTTTGTCATATTTCGATTCAAATTCAACATAGCTTAACTTATTTTATAACACTACCCGGTGTTGCTTGGCTTAAATTGAAAATGCAACTTAACAACCGCAAACTATAACTATGTATATAAAATGTGAAATCGTCTAACAAATTGTAGGATTTTTATTCATATCAGTTGTGTAAATAAGTAACTTTTTAATAAATTAACAATCATAAATAGAGTTTTTATGTACTTTGAGCTAGAACAAGAGATTATGGTTTTGTTTCTTTAGAAGAAAATAATTTGTAACTAGAATTTGGTTAGATATCATGGTTCCTTTTGTTTTTGTTTCACTTTGGCGTAGTCAAGCTTTCTTCATATCAACAGAGCTGCTCTGGCATCTAATAGGAAGGCTTCTTGAGGGCTATCATTTCATGTTGCAAACAGTGCTTGAATGCATCCCAGCCCTCCGACTTGGCCGTAGACTGTAAGGCAATAGTTTCTTGATTAGTTTAATAGGGAAAAAAGGGTCTAATCAAAAGATAGTTATAGTGCACAATAGTGGGAGATACGACAAGTGTGTGAGACGCTGAATCGAAAATAAACTGGGGGTTCCATACCATCTTGAACCAACCTTTGCTTGGGCAGCGGTTTTATCTTTAGGTTTTTTACACCTCATCTCAATGATATCAGCATCTTGCTAGGAAATAACAAAAAGCACGAGAATATTTGCCACACATTGACTTAACTGAAACTTTAGACCTGGGCTTTAACTATACGTATGGGCACGTGAGTCGGGTTTGTCAACAATAACAAAAGTTTTGGCATAACAAAAATATTTGATTAGCTGATGAGCAACAACAACAACAACAATAGCAAATAAATTAACAAATGAACGGGATCACTCGTGAATGGATGATAAATGTGTGAGAAAATAAAAAAGCAAAAACTCTGAAATGAATTGGGGTATTCTTGCATAAATTAAACTGAGTAACAATAATTAATGAAACAGCTTAATTAATTGCGAGCAATACCCTAACATTCAGCAATTAAATTAGGTATATAAAATCAGTGTAATAATAAACATCAAATAAAAATTTTTTATTTATTTATTGTGCATAGGTAAATTTTAATATGTTTATGGCAAATTACGAGCTTAAAAATAAAAATAAATCTTTAATCCAATTGAGTCGTTAAACAATTGGTGACAATACAAATGAATATAGTAACTGAACAGTCATAAATAAGGAACATTCAAGCTTAAGCACAAAAAATGATTAGAGCTTAAAACAAATTAAACACACACAAATGAGAGAGACATACACACACACATATACATAAGCGATAACGGGAACAAAAGCTGTTTTAGTTTAGTGCCACAATGCATCGCTGTCAATGTAGTAGTCCAGTTGGCGACAGACACTGTGGCGCCAGGCTTGGAACATGGGGTACTCGGGATCATCGTATGCATCCAGTGCCTCATTGTAATCAAAGAAACGACCACTTACTCTGAAGCCGCGATGCAAGCGATCCTTCATAATGGCTATGAACTCCTTATAATGCAGCAGGCCATCGCCATCCGCATCGAATATGGCAAACACCGTATCAATCAAATGCTCACTGAGGCTGTAACCCGTACAGATTTTGGCAGCGCGCGCAAATTCATCTGTTCAACAATTTGAAATTGAAAACTTGTTGGTAGCAAACAGATATGGACTTTCGACTCACCCTTCGATATGGAGCGATCGGCCAGTGTGTACATACGCATGGCAATGGTAAAATCATCGAGATTATTGAGAAAATGACAAAAGTCTCGGAAATCATTAAAGGAAATGCCCTTTTCATCCTTGACGCGCTGCAGCAAACGCTCCAGGAACACATCGTACTCATCCGTGGCCAGATAAGTGTAGCGCAGCAAGATCTTGGCAAAATCTAACTCTGTTATGAAGGTTTGACCCTTGGAGAATTCATTGAATTCCAGTTCCAGCACCTCCGTCTGCAGATTGTCCATGAACCGATAGAAATGATCGTAGTTGATAACCCCGGTGCCGCGCTTGCCAAACAGATGCAGCTGCAGGGTGGTGGCCACCATATGACGTCGCTGTAGTCCCTCATTGTCATCCACATAATCGCGCTGCAAGTTTGCATTCATATATTTAGAGTATATGGTTTGGTAGATATTTATTCTGTTTAGTCACACTGCAGTTAACAAGCGCATGCTCAACATTACCTCGAGCGAAGTTTCTTTCTTTTCATTGGAATCGGAGTCGGAATCGTACTCATCTAGCGTCTGATCGCCGTGTTTTTCTTTCCAAGCGCCGCTAAATATGCGCTCCATCTGGGATTTTTCGGTTATATACAAATCGTTGGATTGGATAGGTTTATGGGGGTAGTTAGATTTGGAGAGAAGAACAGTTAGGTAAGGTTTAGTAAGGTTGTTTGGTTGCACAGGGCATAAGGGGTTTGGTATTGTAAAAACGTAAGAAACAAAACGAAACGTAACGTAAGTGCATAACGCAATGCAATTTAAAAGCATATAAAAATATAATATAATAATAGAAAGTCGGGCTAGGTGATAAGCAATTATACAGCTTTGAAAATAACATATCGTCAAATAACATATAAGAACGTAACGTAAGGTAACGTGTAACGTGTAACGTCTAACTAACGTAACTATGCTAAGCCTTTACGTATGCGTTTCGGGCATATTTTACAACGTCGAGCATAGTTTTGTCTGCTGGAAAGCGAAGCTATAAGAATTTTTTATTTTGTCGATTTCTTGTAGACTTACAAGACCCTTGGGTCGTGAAACTGGCAAAGCCTTCAGAGTTGGTTTCTCATCAAAGGGTATTAAACGCCGCAGCTGGATTATATTATTAAATAAAATATTGGTATTCAATTAAATAAAAAATATAATTATAATAAAAGATAACTCCTGTAGCTAACGCTGGCTATTTAGATAGAATATTAAATTATTATAATTATAAATCAATAAATGAATATATCTTACAAGTTCTTTGGTCTTTGGTTCCACATCTTGTATGGACTTAATGGCGCCAGCCAAAATGGAAATAATCTGTTAAATTCAAATAAAATAGTAAAAATATATGATAAAATATAATAATAAATTGAATAGCTAACAACAACAAAAATGGAATAAAATATAAATATAAAGAAATTAAATAAATATAAGAATATAAAAAGTAAAATAATATTACAAAATAAAAAACATAATCTGAATATATACATGAAATATATGAAATGGTATAAGATTACAAATAAAACACACGAATACTGGTTACATTTAAAACATACACATACATTATATTGCCTTCTTCATATACTACTTACGACAAGAAACTCGGACTTATCCACACGCTGATTGCCGTCCGTGTCGAACATGTTGAAGGCGATGCGAAAGCCTGACTTGGGTTCTGTAAGGCATACATAACATTTAGTTCAAGCTTAAATAATACTATATATATATTGTGGAGTATATTAAAAATATGTGAAGAGACATCTGGCTCGGCTGTGGTCCACTACTTACTGGTAAGAACGGAAAGCAAGAACAAGTACTCCGTGTAGGAAACAATGCCTAGTTTGAATAGGAAGTTTTGATATCATAATACAATATAATATTATTTGAAGTATTTACCCTTGTCCCTGAGATTGCGAAAGAGATGTGAGGAACCCTTTTTGACAGCAGGCGTCTGATCTTTGTATTTTTCAACTTCATCGGTGCTAAGCGCGCGCCGCTTTAGTCGGGCTGAAAACAATGAAATTATTAACTGGATTTAGATAGAATTCGGTATGATTTTCACTCACGTCTGGGCTCCTGTTCCACGACAGATTCCAGAAAATCTTGTGGTGTCATGTACAGCTGATTCTCGTACTCCACGGAAGCGAACTTAATGAAGCGTCGCTCGCGTGCGGTTAGTTTAACATTCTCCAGATCGGTGTCATCGCGATGCTTTATTGATAGGCGATAAAAGATGAAACGTTGGGTAATTTGATATGCATATGCACAGATATACATGTATATATAATGGGCATAAATCAGCGCCAGATTGGATCGCCAGTAATTTCCTTAGCTGGCGCACAAAGGCGGCAAATGCAGACGACAAATAACCGATCGATATCGGAAACCAGGCCGTGTGTCTGGTGACGTTTTGATTAATGCTTGAACGCGACTTGAACCGCGATGTTATTATGAATACATCAGTTATATATATCCACATATATGCGCCTTGCTTATTTGCAGTCTGCTGCATGTGGCTTTAAAGTGCAATATTGATGGCCTGGACAGGATTCCCACGTTAAGCATTGGCTAAGCAGCTCGGGCCAATAAAGTGCCAAACTGATTTGGTCACAAGATTTTTTGGGGGTCGACCCATGCGGACGTATGCATGTATATGGCTATAAAATAAATTGGCATAAGCTCCATAAATCTGACATTTAATGCCACACACACAAAATGTGGGCAGTGGCCGCCCCAAGAAATGACTCAATTTTCAGGCCATATGCAAAAGTCGATTGTCTGGGGCCTGTGTGCCCCAAAATAAAACTTAGCAAAACTGGTCTAATTATTGGTGTACGACTAGCAAATACTCTACATATTTGTAGTATTTATATGGATAATTGATGATTGATGGGACAGACTGACTATAATATTGGCTGTTTGAATGAGAGGTTGGGTACAAAAGTAATGAGATATAAAAGTTTTGTTTACATGAAAATATGCAGAAAATAGCTGAAACAATGCTTGAATGAACAATAATTGATATTACAATAACTTCAACTTAAAGTATGGTGTATGTACGAGGAATCTAGATTAATTCTCATTTTAAGCTAATGTAAAACTTAAACTTTTTTATAAATAAATCAAATTGAATTTGAAAAACTTGAACTTTTGCCTCTAGGCAGACTGCTATGATACCCTAGCCTAAGCCAGTTCGAATCGGTCTCAATAAGACAAAGAGCGGTGCGCAATTTGAATGTTAGACATGTGCAGCAGCCAGCAGCAATTCACGCCCACGCGCTGCAACTGAATCTTGTATTAATTCTTCATAACTTCGGCTGACATCATCCAGAGACCAGCCAGGAGAGCTGCAGGCGCTTTGCAGGCGCTTTATATATATTTTATAGGCAACAATTAAAACTCATTCATCATCGTGAGAGGCAGTCGTCGTGGTTGTCATAACGTGGCTCAGGGACTTGGCACATGTCAGGGACGCTGCGGCCCGAAACATAGCCACGCCTGCGTCTGGCATTGGGCCTGCCAGCCAGCCAGCCAGCCAGCCTTATAGTGGGTGTCTCAAAATCCACACTAGCCAGATCGATTGATAGATAAATTTTGTGGCAACTGGCATTTGTGTCAGCATACGTTCTGTGGGCACGTTGTCAGGTGCGTGGGCGGAGTTCGCAGCTACTTAGACACTTTATCAACTAAACCAAATGCACTTTTCATTATTATTATTATTATAACTTGTCAGATTTTCAAGGTGTGTGGCAAACAACATGCGCTCAATTGCCGCTCATAAAGCATTTTTTGTTGTGTGGCATTTTTGTTGAAATTAATGCAAAGCCAATTAAATATTCAAGAGCACTTAGATTGTATAAGATATGGGCATGTAAATTTGGATATTAAAATGTCCAGAAAACGAGACTCTAGCAGATACCCTGCAGACAGCTCCCAATGAGCTGCGAAGCGTTAAAACCTTAAGCCCAAATACTTAAGGTAAATCTAATCATAATTTGTTCATCAACATTTTGACAAGAGATTAAAAAAAAACACACATTTTAATTGCCAGATTAAAAATATCAAACAAAACAAAATCTGATTTCATCAGCGTGGGGATTACGAAAACCTTCATACGAAACTTTAAGTTATTTGATTTCTGAGTTTCAATAGACTGACAAGTCAAGACATTGGCTATGCTCTAAGTCATTTTCACATTTAAAACAAGCTTCGGTAACTTTGTTGTAGCTTATGTCTCCAATATTTCTGCATTCACATCAAGTCATTAACAGAAACCTGAATTCTAGCTCGAAGCTCTATTTTACGGAATATTAACTTAGTTAATAATATTCTATTTAAGCAAAGCTTGTGGCCTGAGCTAGAACGGTTCCGACTGGATTAACCCATATGATTGGTAAATATGGGCGAGAAACTAATATATTTTATAGAATTTTCTGAAATTAAAATACTAATTTATTCCCCAAGCTTTCAAATGTATTACTGATCCGCACGAGTGCATGAAAGTAAAATTAATCAGTTCGACTTCTCAAGAAATTTGATTACTAAACACGAAACAACACTCAAAAGCGCCAGCCAACTAAATGTTCTAGGCATTGCTCAACCTTTGACAACTAATTACGCAAAGCACTTCATTCAAATATTAGTTATTCACACCCTAGAGTAAATGGAACAACCATAAAATGCTTATCAGGGCGACAATGTGCACGCAACGGCAAGTCAACAACATTTTGAGGTTTAACAACACTAAAATAACTGACAATGTCAACAGGTTGAAAGACAAGTTCGTTGTTGTTGTTGTTGCTTATTGTTGTTCAATGAACTTGAGCACGCAACAACGAGAACAATAACAGCAACAAATGGAAAACGGTGCCCCCAAAAGGCAATAAAGACCGTGAACCACTTTTTTATTTGATTTGTTTCGTCAAAGGCCCGCAGCTAGTTCACAATGAGTAATCGTCTCAATTAAGTTGTTCTGCGTAAACCAGCCACTTTTTTTGACTTTGTTTATTAAAAGCCAATCTAAGCAAACAAAACTAATAAGCGCAGCGAATGCCGCGACCAAGACAAACACACAACCCTCACACACACACACAAACACGCACAAGCATTAGCTGCTAAACAGCTGTTCAGATGTTACGTTATGGCAAACGCAACAGCTGGCTGCGCTGCGTAACGTAAGCTGCCCCAAGCTAAAAATAACTGCGCGAGTCTTTTACGGTCATTTATTGACTTTTCCACATACGTATACACACTCACACTAAGGCACTGTTATCACATGTAAGCTATTGTCTATTGCTTTGTTACTATTTACCAGGCTCTTCTTTCGCATTGCATTCGCTGTATTGGCGGCACTTCGCAAACGAATAATCGCAGTCAGTGCCGCCAATGAAACGAAACTGCCGCCCACTAGCACCATAAGACGTCGTGTATTATTCCTTGGTTGGTATTTATTTGTAAGTCGGGTGCTGGCATTTCGGAAACACGATTTATACACTGTCGCACTGTGTTGTTGTGTTAAAAATGCATTAACCGTTAGTCGCGCTACGACCTTTGCCATTGTTGATGAGTTCAGCGCTTTGCTTGCAAGAAGTAACTAAACGAAGTGACAAATAGAAAATACGTAAGAGCCAATTGGTTAAATGTTTGTCACGTAAGGAACGTAGAGTGTTGCCACCTAGGCAAAGTAGTACACAGTGTTGTATGCGTCTGGCGGGTAATTGGCGCGTATTTGAAAAAGTTCACAACGACATGGAATTTTCATATACCAACTATAATAAATTTAGCAAATGAATTAAATGAAGTATAAGTATATTAATTAATTTAAGTAAGTATATTAATTAATTAAGCTTAATTAAAGTGTTAGAAGAACTTTTCGTTGCAATTCCAATGGATTTTGCTAATAAATTTGTTTGTTTAATATAAAAATGCCAGTCAGACAAATCGTTGCGATGTGGTCAACGTCACGCTGAAGTGCTACGTGCCCAAATTCACACAAGTTTCCCACTTACGCAATTCCAAAAACTATTTCTAAATCCTGGCAGCGTAGACCGCTGCGGTTTTTCTAACGAACAAAAATATTTGACGCATTTTTGGCTAATTTTGTACTTTTTATTGGGCATGTCCAAAATATGAACGATGATGCGCCCGCTTCCACAAATATCGCTGCGTCAATTGCTTAACAAGTCCAAAGCTCAAATGACTCACAGCCAATGGAATCAATAAAAATGTCGAAATATTTACAAAAGGAAAAAGATATATACCAATTCGATATCAATGCAATGCGATTCAAATCAAAACCGGTTCACCGACCCATCAAATTCAATAGAAATGTTCACAGCCGCAAAAGAAAAATATCGATTTCAACAGAGATTTGTTCTGGCCGCCCTTTGCAGCGTCCCGAGGGCAGAGGTGGCACAGGTGTAGTTGGCGTCAGCGTTGCAAGCCGCAGTCAGATCAGTTGACACCACATGCAGCAAGTGGCATCGCGAGCTCTATGAACGGCTTGGCATTGTTTTCAGTTCGCCCGAAGTCCGCAGGGACTGGCGTCCAAATGGGGTTTCGATTTTCTCCGACCAATTCATGAGCTCGTAAATTATTAAATTCTGTTTTAGTTTCATCTTTGACTCATATTTATTGTTAAGGATTGTGTTTCCTTTCGGTTCGCCAACATTTCCTGCGAAAGTTGTAAAACTTCAGCATTGCCATCGGGCTCCACCAAGCGCCAGCCTTCCCGCCTGCAACTTGGTAAACACAATTCGTAAGCCATGAAAACGTATAAATATCCGTTGGCACATAAAAATTTCAGTTGACGCCTTCGCCTTGCTCTCTCTCTCTCTCTCTCGCTCTGGCTCTGGCTCTGTCTCTGCTGTAAATATCCTGCGGCTATATATGTTTATATCTCTTCCCAATTTTAAACGTTCAATTTTTGGTAGTAATAAAGTCGTTTCAATTAGCTTTTGACTTGCAGCCGCATCGTTTCTCCTTATTGCGAAGCCAAAAGTAAATCAGAAAAAATTTGTTTTAACTTGGCCCTCAAACTTAGCGCCAGCCTTCAGGGCAAGCACATGCTATACTCTTGCTAAGGCCATTATAATTGAGACATGAAATATGTAACATCGCTTAGACATAGCCAGAAATAGAATTAGTCAACTGCAGAAGACTTTCATGCTTTAAGACCACTCTTAGACAAATGCAGCAGGGTATTTATTATTCGGTTCTCTGGCTATGCTCGTTTGCTCTTGATGTTACCAAAAGTTAATTAGTTTGGCGTTTAACAGCGGCCAGAGGCAGCTCCAACTCAAACATTTAACCCACATACAGCTATTAGCTAATATTGAGCTGAAAATTGAGGCGATTAACGCATCATCTAACGGTAAACTTATGCATTTTTGATATACGAGCCGATTATTTTTTTGACATTTATGCGCCTTCCCTTTTTTTCAACTCTGAACAGATTATTGAGATATGTCAACGTTTGGGGTATTCTCACGAACTGCCTGCGTTTCCGATCAGATATTTTCGTGTTTTTCGATCGTTTCTGATAACACTTGAATGAGAAAAAAAAACAAAACAATATAAGAAGAGTTCAATGTCAATGCTCAATCAGTTAAAGAACATTTTGTGTCAAGTGATTTGGGCAGCAGTTGATGCATGTGCCTCGACATTTGTGATGAGGTGTTCAGTGTAGCTGCGTTTGTACGTATTTCTGTGGGGGGAGTTATGGGGACACCACCTGTTGGGCGAGTTCGTTCGAACTCATTGAGTTGTAATTAAATGAGGACCACACGCGGGACTCAAGCAAGGCGTTGCCCTGTCACACACAAGCAGGCACACTCACACTCACACACACATACTCGTAAATCTTAACGGCATATGTCAGGCTGTGGCAGGAGCAGGAGCAGCACATGATGCACTGAGCAGCATACAAAAGAGCTCTACGAGAAGATATCCTATAAACGGCTGGGCCCAGCTATTTATAGAGATATTAATAGAACATGGTTAAGAGTTATGAGATAAATTGGTTAAGAGCTTAGAGCTGAGGCTCATTGAAGTAGCCACGAAGTAGCTTATATATATTGAAAGCAAATAATAATATATATACATATTATATAAATCTGTTGCATGTTGACCAAAAAACTTGCTAAAACTCAACAATCTCATTAGAAAGAAAATTCCTGAAGAAACTCAGTTGTTAAAATATCATATGAATGAATGAGTTTGTAAAAGAGTGAGTATGAGTATGAATCATTGCTCGATTCCAATTAGTTGAATAAAGAACAGCCAAAATTAAATCTGTATCAATATCAAATATCAATGGGTATAGTGAAATGAGTCATTTTATTCACTAATTATATTTTATTTAGCATACTTATTCCAAAAGTAAAAAAGTATAAATATATATTATTCAAAATAAAACTTGTTAAAACAATTCATAGTTAAGCATGGACATGAAAACTAAAGCCATAAACGATCCTTTCAGACGAAGCATTTACTAAAGTCTTAAGAGAAAAAATCATTTGCTGCACAGGCAGATGAAAGCGAAAGAGATTTCATAAATTTTCACAATTTTAAGCTATCCATGCCAAGTGCATTTTCATAGCATATAGGGTATAGAAAGGGTGCCAACTATCGCATTACCTAAGGACAAAAAATGTTGTTGGGGGCGCTGGCAACATCAACAGCAACGGCAACAACAACAGCAGCAGCAGCCGGTTTTTCCTTTTGGTTTTGGTTTGTTGGCCTGTTCAACAAGTTGCCCCGCGTCGGCATCTAACATGTTGTTGCACCTTGATTTATGTTGCAAGCCAAGGCCCGGGCTGGTCAACAATACTTGGCTGCCGCTCCAATTACATCACTCAAACAGAGCGAGACAGAGGCATGGACAACGCGGAAGAGCGAGGAGGAGAGAGAAAAAGTAACTACAGTTAGGAACTGCATCTGGAACGTCGCTTGGCTGTCACATTAGGCCACACTAATCAGACGCAGAGCCAAGTTTATCGCACAACAAGATCTCCAAAGGATTACAGTCTAGACTCCAGACTCTAAACAGACTTTCCATAGCAATTCCGACTGCTTATTTTAACGGGTTCAGCTGCGGCCGGTTTGCAGCTCTTTAAGATAGCATCCCAAATCGAATAAGAAGAAGCAGACAGAACTCCAGAGAAGTTCTCCTCAATGCTAGATGCTCAATGCCTCTCTTTTGTCTCGTCTATCGTCTCTCACATTTGATTAAGTTTTGATAGCGCCGTAATCTGAGCTCCACAAATGCTCCATTGGCCACCAGAGCTGCCGGCGCTGAGTATTTTCTTTTTTTTATTTTATATTTTTTTTCCTCTAATTTTATTAATTGTTATTGCTGGCAAGTTCCATAAATTGTTGTCTATCGCGCGATAGCCGTTCCACTGATTTGGTTAATAGCCGCGATATTGATATCGATTTCGTTGCAGTCACAATAAAAATTGCTCACATTAAAGCTTCAAGACTTCATCTCTCTCTCTCTCTCAGATGGCAGGTGTCTGCTTGGGCCATGGGAAACGGTAACAAGACAAGGAGCTACCATAGATAAGATGAAATTCGAAAGCAGAGCTGCAGCATAGGAATTTATTTTGTAGAAGAGAAATTTAAGAACTTTACCTTTTTGAATACTAGAACTATTTGAAATATTTTGAAAAATGATTATCCAAATGAGCTGCGAGAAATTTATCAACTTGGCAGAATTAGAAATATTTTCAAAATTCTTGAAATACACGAGGAATTGACAAATTTATTATAACAAAATAGTTTCCACAAAATAGTAGAAAAAACCTTGACACTTTTTACAGTAGTACGAAAACATTTTTGTATTGAAATTCTCTTTTAAATATGCCTAAGATAAATTGAGAATTTAGATCAAAGGCAAAAACTAAAAAGTTTATGTAAACTTAAGCATGAAAAGAACATATTTGTTAGTCTTGCAAAATCCAACAAAAAAAATTGGATAAAGCTGACTAAATTTTAAAAATACATAAGTATATATATATTGATTGTATTCCAAATATTTTTGTCAAACAAAAAATAAATATATTTAGAATTACTTGAAAATAAATTTAAAATTAAAAAAAATGTTTTTTTTTAACATTAAAAAATTGTTTAAAATTATTTTGGTATAAATTATATTATTTATAAATTTAAAGTAAAAGTAAATTTGTAACGTGAATAAAATGTTAAAAAAGTGACTTAAAAATATATTACTTCTGTTTTAGTATATAAATTATATGTTTTCCAGTCCTGTGGTGACTGAAAGTTAGGTTGAGAGGCGACTGTGCCTCTTATTGCTGGCCTCGGGCTCAGATAATGAAATAAGCCATTTAACGAGCAAATGACGGAGTGAATATTTATTTAAGCGGTTTACTGGAAGAACGCTTTTTAACCCTGCTTTTAATTGTTCTTTTTTGAATAATCGAAACAGTTAATTTTATTGGTTTTTCTTATTATATTCACTATTTTTAGTTTTACTTATATGACACCAATTTTTAGCATGTCCTATCAGTACGAGTTAAAACACGAGACTGATCTATATTTTTACAAATCATAGCCTCACCGGCGTAAGTAGAGTTGCCCTTGCCAGGGCTGTTCCTTAACTTGTCTAGCACCCGATAA